AGGTAGCCCAAGACACAGTGGAGCCAGATGCTTTCACAAACTCATCAAGCCAATTGCGAAGATCGCCGGGAAGACAAGGAGGAAGCAAACGATACCAGTGTTCGTCAAGATCAAGCGTGCAACTGCTCAACTTATCGGAAAACCGGCGACAACACTCCTCAATGTTGGCAAAAACTTCCTTTTTTTCATCTTTGACACGTCCAAACCATTGGAACAAAGGAAGATCATCAGGTACAGTTGAACTATTAGCCGCACCTTGACTAACCACTGTTACTTTGGAAGGACTCTGGTTAGGTGTGACCATAGAGAGAGCTTTCTCTATAGCCTCCAAGTTAGAGCACTTCTTCGACAGGGCAGCCTTCAAAGCGTCGACCTCTTCGTCCGACTTGTCCCCACTGTTCGCAACTTCAGCGATCAACCCATGAACCTCCTGACGAAGTCGCTCTACAGCTCCTCCGTACGAAAGCTCGCTTCCAACAGCTTGAACATCTGAACTCTTGTTCTGTTCTGCAGGAGACACAGTAGAATCATTCATAGTCATATTTTCGGTTTAAATTAGATAGGTAGGTTAAAATCTGGAAGATTCTGATTTACACGATCTTAAAAAATGTTAAGCACGAAGAATAAAAGGATTATTATTTGTAGCTTATAAAAAATGTTCGATATTATAAAAACAAGAAAAGACTTATTTGAATAAGATCAGACACAAAAACTAAAGATTTATTGATAAAGACAAGAGTTATTCTATTTATACTAAGTTCTGAATGCCAAAGTAGCAATTTATCTTGTACAACGCTTATCACATCTGGTGAACCTCAGTATTTAGATAGCTGAGATGCACTTCACTTATCATAGCTTGTCCATGTTGTTGCACAACACAGACATATCTACCCATCAAGAATACCTTAATCTTTATAGACAGTTGTAGCCCTTCTGGCACAACAAAGTAGACAAAAAAGGGATACTCACACAAAGTGAGTCAAAGAAAGATATAACAAACACAACATCAGAGACGTTCAGAACAGCTCGTTGTTGTTGCAACAAAAATCCATACATGAGTAACATGCATGGTAATAGTCGGATGTAAAGCAACACAACCAACAAAAGAAGAAGAAAAGCACAACAAAGTAAACATCATGAATGCATTATCATGAGAAAGGAAGCAACAATACAAGCGTTCAAAGAAGTTTTATATCATTGCGACTAGAAGAAAGAAGATACTTACCAATTACCACCACCGTAGATAGACCAGGGGATACGCAATCACCGGATATAGACCAGAGAACGAGCGTGCACCAAACACAGTAGACCAGGAAAGACCATATTAGCAGCAGCAGCAGCAGCAAAGCCAGCACTGTAGACAAACCAGAGAACGAACGACACCAGAGAACGAACGACACCAGAGAACGAGCATGCACCAAAGACAGTACACCATGAAAGACCCGATTAGCAGCAGCAACAACATCAGCAGCAATACCAGCACCATAGAAAAACCAAAGGACAAACGCCACCAGCAGAGACTATACAAAGACCAAAGAAACAGACAACAGAGATAGCAGCAGGAAAGGAACGGCAGCAGCACCCACGTCGAACAGGCAAAAAAATTATCGAAACGTAATAAAGAAATTAAATTAGTGTTAGTTATATGCCCTTCAGTGCTCGTTATCGAATGGTACCTAATATATTCTACTTCAAAGAAGCAGTATCAAGTTCTTCCAACAGTACAAGGTAGAGTTATCGGAAGCTAGAGTGGCATTATCAATCGAATGGTGTCCAAAACCACCATGGTTTGATACCAAAACGCGTTTTGCAAAAAGGATAAAAAACGGGGGCATGGAAAAATGAGAGGGTACCCTATCCGACGTCACAGCCAGTAGATTTGGTCTCAGTCGTCATGTACCGTAGCAGCCGTAATTGCGGCAATTTAATTTTAAATTGTATGGAGGGTATTTTCGTGTTCACAATTGACCTAATCTGACATGTTTTAAACGTTTTTGCTAAATTTGACTATGAAAATTGTCGTTGTTATACCCAGCTTTTTAATGCATCTTTAGAGAAGTAAAGAAGCCGCATCAAATGATGCTAGTTTTATGCAGCTTTTAGACTGCAAATAACGAGCAATTCCCAAGGATATGAAAACATGTTTTTTGCCAAAATGTTGAAATTTTACATACGAAAATCTTATAGAAAGAGTTTCCAATGTTGCGTTACGTCTTTACGATCAATTTGATTTTATATGTATCTTAGGAAAAGTCTTCATTTTTGGGTGAAAAACGCGATCGTTTGATTTTCAAGAATTTTCCCTTACTAGTACACATGAAAGAATGAGGATTTTCATGAATTTGCAATGACCCAAAATTTTTTGAGATAAAGCATCAGTAAGTAAGGCGTATTAAAAGAGAGCGATTTGGTCTTATTCCAAGGGTCTACAACGCTTTGTAGCATGAGTTATTCGTGCTTCAAATGGCTAGATTTGGATAGAATCTGGCCTAAAAATAAGGAGTACTAGGTTTTGCTGCTAAAAAAGTAAGTAAATTACGGTTCTGTTTGATGACTCTGATGTTCTGCATTGTGCGGAACTTATTAGTTGTTTCTAAGTGATAGATGCTTTTATTCTAATTCTCAATGTCCAATCGCTCTTTTTGAAATGGGTGATTACAGTACTCTTTAAACTTAATCGTCAATACTACTATGCAAGTGAGCATACTCTGTCTAATAAAGAAGAAGCCTGATTAAATTGGCAGTTGTGCATGTTTAGAATAACAAAATATAGACAGAGTAAATACAGTTAGAACTGAATATATTTATTATGTTATTCCAAGATTGAATAGGGATCAAAACTAGTGTAGATATCAAAGGTATTTATAGTTATTTGACAGTGCCGCAGCAATAGGACCTTGATCTTGAATGCGGGATAATTGTATAAGCCTTGAACCAGTAACGAGGATGTGCTGCATCAGAACTCATGAACCACCAGTCAAGGATAAACAACAAAGATGATCCAGGATAGAATGTTCTTCCTAATAGCTTTGACGGAAGAACATTTGTCGGAATTGAAACCCACTTCCAGGGACGAAAGACCATAGGCTACCACTCTCTAGGAACCAGGATATAGATTAGCCATTTGATGGCACCACTCATGTTCCTTCGTGCTGCTGGAATAAAGACCTCTCACTTCTACTATGCATCTCAGCTCATTCTCAGATCCTCTTATGTAATAAACGACGCTTAATACATATCACTACGGCCCAACTGATGCTCTCATATGGGAACATCGGCGTTCCTAAAGATCTATTATAAGTCGGCCGATGTTCTCATAAGAACATCCGAGATGTTCCCATATGAGCACATCCATGTTCTTAAATAAGAGCAAATGTAGCTGTTTATGAGCGCATCGATGTTCTCAAATCAAAATATCGATGTTCTTAAATGAGCAAATCCATGTTCTCAAACGAGAACATTCATGATCGCGCATGAACCTATCGATGAGCTGAAATGGGATCATTGAAGGTCTGAATCAGCTTAAATATTGGTAGCTTTTATTGGCCCATAATTCGTGGTTTAAATATTGGCAGCTTTCATTGGCTCAGAAATTGTGGTTTAAATATTTATACATTTATTATTGGTTAATTTTAATGGGTAAACGAAGGCTACGTGCCAAAAACGTGCAATAGTAAAGCCTTGTAGTGGTAATGGTCATGCTGTAGGCTATAGTAGAGTCAAAGATAATTGAGAATAATAGCCTGGATCAGTATGAACTGTTTCGTGTTTCCCAATATTATCAGTTTTTAGGGCAATATAAAAGTGATGTTTCCAGGCGAGATCCAGAGAGAGCATAGAATGAAAAGGTTGAAGCCATCAACAGTGTTCCATGTAGAGCAACGAATTGTACAAAAGCCAGCATAATATCAAAGATGTGCATGTACCTATCAGCAAAGATGTGAACTGAATCAAGTTAGTAAAGCGTTCCAGCAAAGGCGTAATGACTACAATACCTCTTTCACAAGACAGATAGAAAGTACAGCACACCACCAGGCAGCGACTCATTGGGAGCAGACATTCTTGAAAAGAAAACATCGAACGAATGTTAATGCGTCTTATGCCGTCAGAAGAATCAGATGTATAGACCGCATCATTCAACTATGAAGCATCTGCCATTGTTCACTGGATGCAAAAGGGGATCCATAAAGTATGCAAGAGATGTGCTCAGTTATCAAGCCAAACCCGCCAGACCCACTCGACGCTGGCACTAGTTAACTTATCAGGTGAGTAACGACTGATTTTTCCTGATGATGCAGCAAAAGATGACTTACTACTTGAACAGTGATAGCAAGAAAGCAGATAAATGGAACCAGCAGGATGGAGGGAAACGGTTAACCAAATGGCATACTTGCGACATCGAAATTGACCTGGCAAAGTCGCCTTTACATTTCTACAAGATATTTGTTAGCTTTTATATGGCAAGAAGCATTGGACATACCATAAATTTGTTGTTTCGAAAGGATGTAAATGAAGATTCCATCCTGGATACTATGGCAGGGATATGAAGCTTCCCACGGCGCACATTTGAAATGGTATTCCTTCTTCAATGGCATTGAAACCTAGCCTCCACCTTTAAAGCCATGGACGGTAAATGCTGCCTCTTCTTCTTGCTGCTACAGAGTACATGTGTCTTATGCTGATAGAATTAAAGTGAAAATAGATGAAAAATGAAGAAAAAAGAGAAACAAAAGCACTTTTTTCTCAAGGGATGACCTAAATATACAAAGTTTCGATCTAAAAATATAGAAACACGCTCTAATCATGCACAGTATCAGACTGATGTAACCAAATCAAGTAACTTTTTAAGCTGAAGTGACCTATCAAATGTGATTTTGAATGTGGCATCGCAGCTAATCCATCATCTCAAATCCCAATAGAGCAAGGCAGCATCAAATGTACAAAAGCAAAGTAATTTTATTTTGGATGAAATATACAAGATCTCACAAACGCACACACCATTACATATTGCTAGTAGTACTAAGGTTGTCATCATCCTCAGCATTACCAACACCGGCAGTTTGAGCAAGCTGGGCAATATCACTGTCTCCAACAATTGCTGATTCAGTCTCCTAAAAGCATTTGAAATGTTTCCAATACTTAGATGTTAGCCATGGCCAAAACAAATAATAGGAGCTACTTACCAGAAGATGGCTTCTTGCCTCGTTTTCTTGCAAAGACACATTGGCAGCAGCATTGGCAGCATTGGCAACATTGGCAGCAGCATCAGCAGCAGCATCAGCAGCAGCAGCTCGGTTTCTGCTTGCTCTATTTGCTTTGAAGGCCTGGGAGAGCAACAACCTGGCACACCACTGCTTCTTGCAGAGACAAATCATGAGATTGTCCCGTTGCAGGGCCTGCTCCTCCAGTGCCAGGCTGTAATATACCTGTTCATCCTGCACATGGTCCAGGGCATTCCAATGCGAGATATTCGGATGCATCACCAGTATAGCCTCCAAGACCCTCTTTGCTGTGCGGTGGAGCTTCTCCCTGCGCGATTTGAGCTGCCCTGGTGTCAAATCGGGTACAGATGCCCCATTGCATAGTTTGTGTAGATGCTGGAGCATTGCGTTGTATCTCTCCACAGGAGAAGCTCTGGCCCTGCCGGTAGGGTTTGCTTCAATTACCCGAGGACCTCTTCTGTTGCTGTTTGATAGTACCTGGCTTCTGTAAGTGGGATCCAGGATGCTTCTTGTTGCCAAATCGCTGCCTGCGTCTTCCAATGGCGACATGAATTGCTGTCGAAATCCATCATTCAAGACGTTCAGTTGTACGCCTTGTTGGCTGATTTCGGATCTCATTGCCATCATTTCTTGCAAGAGTCTTGCGGTGAAGTCAATACTGGCAGCGTTGTTGTTGTTGTTGTTGTTGTTGTTGTTGTTGTTGTTGTTGTTGTTATTGTTCATGGTTCGCGCTGATAATAAAAGTTTAGTAAGCAAAGAAAAGATATGTTCAGAGTTGTGTTGTACCGTATATCTCGTTGCGCACACACCACCACGTTGTTGAACGTCATTCGGTTCACAGGCTTCATGCAAGTAATGCTGACCTCATTGTACGCCCATAGTATAAGCATATGTGCACAGTGAATACCACTCGATTTGACATGATGTTGAAAGTGAAATGACGTAGAAGTAGCCTGAGGCGACATATCACATCATAGGAAACACGTTCCTTACTTGATCTTGGACTTTGAGTTACCAAACGTTATATGCAAGACTACGTATCACTTGCTTGTAAACGATGATAAACGCATTTGTTGGCGAGCGCAAATAAAACTTGAATTAGTATATAAAGCTGCCACTTGAAATTTGTTTTTACTTGCCTATTTTTCTTGGTTTCTCCAAACATGTCATTCTCAATCCGTATATCACGAGAAACAGAGCCATCCTTCTGTACAAATTGCTATACCAGCTTTGACAGTGCCCGTGCTCTACGCAACCATCGCCGAAACTGTCGTGTTCCCATTTTGAATGAAGATCAAGATGTTGAAATGGAAGAGCAACCTCCAGTGGAAACAACGCTGATACAGCCACAATCTCCCCCCAGTGCGCTAGTCACAGCCAATTCAGATCATGCAAACCAGCTGCATGATGATGATGCCATGAGTGATATTGAAGAAATGATTCCTGCTGCTGACGATGCTGATTATGACTACGCAGGCTTTGAACAGACGCCGGGTGCTGCCGATCTGCTGCCTATTGTCGATAATAATGGTAAGGAATTGCAGCGCTAAAGTAGATGTATATACTCACAATAGCGGATTCCACACATGCGATAACAGGAGACAATCCAGAAGAACCAGGGCTTGAATTTGATTTACTAAATGTCAAATACAAGACAGTTGGAGTAGTCGACCCAGATGCAGAAGATCAGGCTTGCTTCTACGATTGCAGATCCCTCGAAGACATCAACCAAAATACATATACAACCACAGAACTGGTTTCGATTGAGCTGTATGATATCGTCAATGATTTTGCTATACCACGGGATGCATACAGAAAGTTGGTCAGGTTGATGAACACTGTTTTGAGAGATACAGAAAAAATTAGTCGAGGTAATTCGCATTGCAATGACATGTCATTTATACAATAACTCACCAGCTTCCGATCCTCCCCCCATGAACTGATAGAAAGCAATCCGGAGATCATGCATGGCCCTCGTGTGCAAAGCATGCTTCAGCGCCAATCATCGTTGACATCCCATGAATATGATGTGTGTATCAATGGCTGCAAGCTGTACGCATTGGAAGTAGACGACGAGGAGACAATTTGTAATATTTGTTCCCATGAAAGATACGATGCACGGGGAGATCATCGAGCCCTGTCAACAATGAAAGTCATGTCAATTGGAGACATCGTATCACGATTAGTTGCGAATTCAATAACGAGAGAGGAGCTTCGGTACCGACATGCCTACGACAACAGAGACCTTGAAGAGAATCCATCCGATGTTATCATTGCTGACGTATTTGACGGCGCCACGTACAAGTCCATCAAGAATACGCATTTCACAAATGACCTGGATATCGCAGTTGCGATCATGAATGATGGCTTTGTAGTTGAAAAGAGAGGTGATCGGCTATTCACAATTATTCATCTGATGGTGTTCAATTACGATCCACACAAGCGTTACAAGGAGGAGTACACGCACGAGCTTTGTATCTTTCCAGGAAAAAAGAAGCCCAAATCATTTGACTCGTTCATTTCCATCATCTTGGCAGAGCTCCAGTGGCTTTCTACGTATGGAATGGTAGTCGAAACAAATGATGCTGGGCCAATTCGTTTGAAGGTTCATCCTCTAATTTGTGGTGGTGATACTCCAGGTAAATATCCTGATTGATAAAGCAACTAATCAGCATCCACAATGGCTAACATGAAATTGATTTACCTACCTGCTTTATTCTAGCCGTGTTTGACTGGAGCAAGTGTGCTCATCATGCATCTGAGTATGGCTGTCGTTGGTGTCTTTCGCGTGGTATGCACCCTGATAATCGCAGCCATGGAATGTACTTTCCAAATGCTGGAAGCATGCGTACGAATGAAGATTACGAGAGGGCTGAGTCCAACCTTGGATTCAACGGTGTCAGCCTTTTCAATCAGCTATCGTCATGCATTGCACCCCAATGCTTTGGATTCGAAGAAATGCATACATTAGCACGAGGTGTTGGTTCAGAACTCTTCGAGATGCTCACTGTCGACCGGTCTCCGAACAACACAAAGTTCTTCTACACATATCCAGATGGTGAATTGGAGCGAGAAAATTATCCATTTTTCATTCCAAAGCAACGGCTGTTCGAGATTGGCAAAGCAATTGAGGACACAAGATCATATATACCAGTTGCATTTGATGGAAGCTTTTTGAATCTGGTGGAGAAGCTACGAGGCACCCGCAGTGTTGACTATCTTGATAATTTGCTGGTAAGATCAGATCCACTGTAATCTGCAAACGTACACATGTAAGGCGTGAATTAGGATCTGATTATTCTGATTTGAAATAGACCATCATACCTACTCTCTTTGTCCCAGAATTAGCCAGTCCACAGGCTAGGAAAGCAATCATGAAGCTGGTTAGAGGCGTCTGTCTTGCATTGCAATGGGAGTTCACTGAGTCTAGGTTGGCAGAGATTGATGAATGCATTGACTTCTTCATTGACTACTGCAAAACTCAGAGAGATGCCATGTGCTTGTCACTTTCGGTCTTCCGTCCCGTAATGCATCAGCTTACACATGTAGTGTGGATGATAAGAGAAATGGGGCCAATTGTAGCCTACTCCTCACGAAGTCAAGAACGGTTAGTCATCTATACATGCTATGTTTATCACACACATCCAGTTACTTACATAACAACATCATCCATTTTACAGAAGCATTGGAAAGTTTGGTGATTTGATAACTGGCAAGTCAAGGAGAGGCAAGCAATCTTCCAACTTGATTGAAATTGTTGCAATCAGAAACCAGCTGAAAAGGATCTTCGACTCAAATGAGTTCCTCCAAGGCATTCGACCGCAGCCATATGCATCCACCACATATCTCAATCATCCAGAATCTCTAACAAGCTCACAGTTGTGGGAACCTAATCAAGAAGAGACAAATTTGGATCATCATTTTGGCTTCGATGGTACTGATCGTGCTGAACTCCATGGTGTTCCAATTGCAAGATTCAAGCGTGCTTTGTCGAAATACTATTGCAGGATATTCTCTCTTCAAAGGCTGAACAGTCCATTGTCAATGACGATCAAAGTTGCCCATCGTGCTCTAATCGGTTCTACTGTCATAGGATCAGAAATATACAGAGAGAAGATGCATGAGTTTCGTAGAAGCAACCATCTGGTCATGTTTAGGTCAACTCACCTCAATCGACTTAACCACCCTGTCTCCTGTTGGTTTGTTTCGCGAGTGATATTCTTTTTCCAACATGTCTATGATGGGTCGACCTACTTTTTGGCTTTCGTTGAAACCATGAAAAATCATGGTGTTGCTTCTCACGACAGGTCTGTCCCTTTTGTTCGTATGAATGAGCCTGTCGAACAACAAATTGCAAGAAGGGTGCCGAGAGTGATTGATCCCAAGTATGCTGTCATTTCTATTGACGATGTTGAGATGCAAGTGGGATTGGTGAAATCTTTGGATAACGACTTGCACTTTAGCGTCATTGCAAACTACCATGCGTTTGAACAAGATATGTCGATCGATGCTGGCGATATTCGCAACCTTTAACGAGGATTGAAATCGCAACATACAGATTTTTTTTTTGCTTTCGCGTAAAACTACCCACTTGAGGCTACGAAATAAAAGATAATACATTTGTCAATACAATACATAGCTACATTCATTAATCATACTTGTATACCTCTTACAGCTTTGTTGTCCATGAAGGCATGCGCAAAATAATTATAAAAAAAAATAATAAAAGAAAAGGATCCGCATCACTGACCATCAAAGCATTTTGAGAAAAGCATAATTAACCCAGCAAGGTTAACGTCCAACGAAGAAAAAACGAGTTTGCTCGGATTCGAACTGGCGACCTTCAGTTTGTTAGTCAGGAATATTACCACTTTGACATAGCGACTCAAAGTAACCAGAAACTCGGGTCACGTGATTTTTTCTCCTGATTTGTTTCAAATTGAGCAAGTTTGGAGGCTTCTAACTTCGTAGATAATGATGCTACGAATTGGCGTTCGGTACGAAAAATAAACAAAAGAACTCAAAAAGTCTGACCATACCATTTAAAAGCGCATATCTGATAACTATCTTCACAGTGTAAAGCCAAATGTTCTGATATGGGAACATCGAGGTGCTCACGAGAACATCGATGTTCCCAAAAGACCGCATCGATGTTCTGTGAGAACATCAGTTGGGCCGTAGTGCATTTGCCTCTCAGAGATGATCTATATCCTCAACAGTGCAGATAATAGTGTCGATGCACTATTCTTTTTTATTGTTTCGTTTACAACTTATTCGCTTAATTATTTACTAACCAACATAGCGATTGAAAATTCGTAGACATGTTTAGGAGCCCGGCAAAGTATGTATATAATCACTCAAGTATGAGGTCTCTAGCATCAATATAAGACGTAAAAAAAAACTCTTCCTGCCTGTTTGTAAACTATGAGGCATAAATTTAACCCTTTGCTACATTGCAACGAAGCAAGAATATATAGCCACTTAATTCGAAATACAAACCGTTTGTTTCCAATCCTATTCCATCAACCTACTACTCGTAATAATTACTTGTAATTAAGAGCTTTCTATATGTTTCATCCATAGTAGATCCTTGGTCAAAGTACTCTTGTTTCAAAAACCATGCGCTTCTAAATAAATAATCACCACCGAATCTAAAATCCTACTTAATTATTGTTTTTGTCGCTAAGAATAGGCATAGGAACATGCTACTTTCAAAGCTCTAGCTTTAATACTTCAAACTCAATTTGGTGCTTCAAAAACCAGCATAGAAAATTGTTTTGTCCATTCGAGATTTGATACGAGGTGGGAAATAGCTCCCCAATATGGTAAGATTTGTGGTACATCCCTATTAAACAGAGCTTTTTATTCGACCACCTCTCTTTCACTTTTCGAATTTTTTAATAACATCAAATCCCTAACCTCTAGTAAAGAATTTGAAAACAACCCCCATGTCTTCAACTGAACAACACCTTTCCAACATTGTGGCCTCCCTCAAGGACATCTATACCTTCATGCAGAAACAGGAAGGTATTAACCAATCCATCGAGGATCGTATCACTTCCACTCTTGACCGCTTCAATGCCACTGATGAACATCTCAGGGCCAACGATGCTCGTCTCAACTCTGTTGAGGCCACTATGGGCGGAATTCTCCAGGCCATTAAAGCAATTTCCCCTTCTGCCTCCAGCACTCCTTCACCTCTTCATGTTACCTCCAAAGGTACCTCTGCTGGATCTACATCCAAGCCTAGTACTCAACCACTTCCTAGGCTGCCATTGCCAGTAAGCCCCCTGCTCTCCTCTCCGATCGTAAGCGCCAAGCCTTACATCGCTTTTTCTCTCCTCCTCCTGATGACTCCATTCAAAATGGTTCTTACACCTTGGTTTATCTCTGTTGTGCCAGAAGGGCTACAACTGTCTATAAAGATTAAGGTATTCTTGATGGGTAGATATGTCTGTGTTGTGCAACAACATGGACAAGCTATGAGAATTGAAGTGCATCTCAGCTATCTAAATACTGAGGTTCACCAGATGTGATAAGCGCTGTACAAGATAAATTGCTACTTTGGCATTCAGAACTTAGTATAAATAGAATAACTCTTGTCTTCATCAATAAATCTTTAGTTTTTGTGTCTGATCTTATTCAAATAAGTCTCTTCTTGTTTTTATAATATCGAACATTTTTTATAAGCTACAAATAATAATCCTTTTATTCTTTGTGATTAACAATCTCCCTCGTTATCGTCGCATGAACCGCAGCCAAATCAGATCGAAATTTCGATTGACAATCTCCGATTTCTGGACCTCAACTTCCCCGCTCGCAACACCATTGGAGTTCTCCTTCACGAAGCCTATCTCGACGAGTTCAAGGCGAAACTTCTGGAAATCGACACCCAACCAATCCAGAATTTCGATCCATTGGATCATCATCACGTCGCTGATCCCAAATACCATGATCTCTCTGAGGAACGTCGCCTCCAATTAGCCCATGCTCTCCACCAGGACCGTTGCATCCGAACTCTCTACTTCATCCGTCCTCATCTCGTTCCTGGTGTTGCTAAGTACTTTGTTCGACAAGGCTGGGTACCTCACACCATGGCTACTGATATCATTAACCAACGCCTCCCTCGTCCCGCCAAGCGCCGACCTGCCCCTCACTTTGCTACTGCCCAGGCCTTGCAAGCCTCCCAATCCGCTGCCACTACGGCCCAACTGATGTTCTCACAGAACATGGATGTGCTCTTTTGGGAACATCGATGTTCTCATTTGAGACGGTGTAGTTTTCCACATGAATAAAATGGTTTGAATAGCTAAACTATAATACTGTAGGCAACAGAGAGACTTTTATTATCTGTAAGATTCATAAAATTACTAAACGTATTGTAAATTGCACGAGAAAATGGCAATTTAAAATTACCTAATAACTACTTACTAAAGTAAAAGAATATATTTCAGTAAGATGTTCGAGTAGTTTAGTGGGAAGAAAGTCAGATCCACAACCGATAGGTTGTGGGTTCGACCCTGGTAGGAGCATTCTTTTTTTCAAATTTCTGAAAATCGATGTGCTCATATAAGAATATGGATGTGCTCACATGGGAACATTTCGGATGTTCTCATGAGAACATCGGCCGACTTATAATAGATCTTTAGGAACGCCGATGTTCCCATATGAGAGCATTTTTCACCTTTCGGGAACATCGATGCGCTCATTTGAGAACATCAAATAGATTCTCATATGAGAACATCGATGTTCTCATGAGAACATCAGTTGGGCCGTAGTGTGCTCCTCAATCTAGTATCCCTCTTCCCTCTACTGACTCTGACCCTATCTCCCTGGTCCATCCTGCTGCTCCCACTCTCACCGATTACTTTGGTAACGCGGTGTCCACCCAAGAAATGGACACCACTCCAGACTTTGCCTCCAATGCCTCTGCTGAGGCACTCTCTCATACCGGTTCTATCTCCTCGATTGACGCCGATGATCTCTCTCATTGAGTGAGATCTTTGAATCAGCTCTCAATTATCTTCCAGCCTCCCCACCCTCAATGAATCATCCTCCACACCCGAAATCCCATCCAGCATCATCACAGAACAAAACTGCCAACTTCCATACTTGCAGCCTCAACTGCCGTAGCACTACGGCCCAACTGATGTTCTCATATGAGAATCTATTTGATGTTCTCAAATGAGCGCATCGATGTTCCCGAAAGGTGAAAAATGCTCTCATATGGGAACATCGGCGTTCCTAAAGATCTATTATAAGTCGGCCGATGTTCTCATGAGAACATCCGAAATGTTCCCATGTGAGCACATCCATATTCTTATATGAGCACATCGATTTTCAGAAATTTGAAAAAAAGAATGCTCCTACCAGGGTCGAACCCACAACCTATCGGTTGTGGATCTGACTTTCTTCCCACTAAACTACTCGAACATCTTACTGAAATATATTCTTTTACTTTAGTAAGTAGTTATTAGGTAATTTTAAATTGCCATTTTCTCGTGCAATTTACAATACGTTTAGTAATTTTATGAATCTTACAGATAATAAAAGTCTCTCTGTTGCCTACAGTATTATAGTTTAGCTATTCAAACCATTTTATTCATGTGGAAAACTACACCGTCTCAAATGAGAACATCGATGTTCCCAAAAGAGCACATCCATGTTCTGTGAGAACATCAGTTGGGCCGTAGTGTATAGTCTTTCCAAGCCCTCCACTCCTTCTCTCGCCTACTTGCCTCCTCTGGTATGGATATCCTCTGTCTTCAAGAAACCTATTCTTCTGATCCCGCTGTACAAGATCGCTTGGATATGCAACTCCAGGCCAAAACCTCCATATGGACGCACTATTGTGGAGTGGTCAGCCTCAATCCAGCTATCCAGCTTGATGATGCATATGTCTCTAACAATGGTCGTCTAATCATCTGTACTGTCTCTCATGCCAACCACCTTTTCCGTCCCTTCCGTCTCATGAATATTTATGCACCTGCCACTTACCACGCCCGCTATGATTTCTATGCTGATCTCCTTCAACTTCCCTTCTTTCAGTCCTTGTTGCTAAACCTCTCCACCCATTCCTTCAATTTTCCCTCTGAAGCTCCAGATATAATTGTAGGCGACTTCAACTACAATCTCCGTCACTTCCCAGCAGCCATCATCCAAGATGGCCTCCAGAATCCCTCTTTCATCAGAAATTTACACCTCAATTACCACCATCTTTCCGACCCCTCTCTCATTGTTCCGGATGCTCTTGAGGACTCCTTCACCTCGCCTCACCTAGACTCCAATGACCCTTCAAATATGCCATCAGCTACAAGGGCCCAATGGCTTTGGCATGCTATGTTGCAACACCATTATCGAGAGTGCTCTCATCGCTTGCAACCCGATCCACCCATACCAACCTTCCACGGCGCCGGGTATAGATCCACCATCGATTACATGTATGTGGCCCCCTCTCTCACCAACTTTGTCCACACATCCACTGTCGACTTTATAGCCCCACAATGGACCGATCATGCCATGCTTAGCATCCACCTCCGAATGCGCTTAAACAACCATGGCCGAGGCTTATGGCGGGTCAGCCCACGCCTGGCTGATAACTCTTTCTTTGTGAATCAGTTGTATAAACGCCTGGATGACTTTCATCGGGATCTAGTTTCCAATCCCTTCCCAGCTTCCCCTCAAGTGTTATGGGACGACATCAAGTCTCTAACTCGATCCTTAGCCCAAAAGATCGGTCGGAAACAGGCTGAATGGCGGCGTCGGCAGCTCAGACAACTGCAGAGTAAACGTAACCGGATCCTCCGTGCCTACAAGTCCACGGCCATCCTGAATAATCGTCTGCCTACCATTGAGAAAGCGATCAGTGCCTTACAACAGGAAATGGTTGAACACCAACAAGCCCTAAGGTCAGGTCTGCGCTGGCGAGAGAAGGGAGAGACCTCGGCTGGATTTCTCAAGGCATTGTCTACCCATCGAGAACTTCAGCGTGCCCTGCCTACTCTCAAGGATCCCTCCACTGGTACATCTTTTGCTTCTCAAACTGAGAAGGAACAAGCTGTCCACTCCTTTTACTCTCGACTCTACACACCCACAACAGTAAATCAACGTGATATACAATTTTTCACTAACATGATTCCCGCTTCCCATAGATTATCTGATGACTCTCATGAATCCCTATGCACTCCTTTTACTCTGGATGACATCTTGGACGGTCTTTCTCGGTCTCCCACCCAGAGTAGCCCTGGCATTGACGGCCTTCCCTATCAGATCCTGCGTCTCTTGTTCAAACATCCGTCTACCGCATCCATTGGTATCCGTGTCTTCAACGACGCTCTGCTCCATGGTACCTTCCCTGCTTCCTGGTCTCAAACTAGTTTGGTGTTACTCCCAAAGAAAGGTGATCTCTCCTTCTTGAAGAATTGGCGCCCAATCTCCCTGATCAACACAACAGATGCCATGACCTTCACTCGCCTCCTCAACTCTCGTCTGATGAGTCACCTTACTGACAAGATCTCTATCCAGCAAATGGGCTTCATGCCCGACCGGTTCATTGCGGAACAGGGTCTTATCCTGCAATGCATGCAAACAGTAGCTACCAGAAACAAGTTAACACCCATTGCCCTTCTTCTAGACCAGGAGAAGGCGTATGATCGCATCCACTTCTCTTACCTTCAGGCTATGATGGACGCCTTCAATATCCCTAAAACCCTCATCACCGCCATCACCAATCTCTTTTCTGCCACCCAAATCCAACCTAATGTCAATCGCATCCTAGTCGCTCCTTTACCACAATTGCGAGGTCTTCGTCAGGGTGATCCCCTCAGTCCTCTTCTCTTTAACATTGCCTTTGATCCCTTTCTCCGGGCCATCCACAATGACTCTCGCATTTCAGGCTTCTCTTTCCCTCCTGATCCCATTTCTGGCTCCCATCCGCCAGTGATCAAAGTTCTCGCCTATGCGGATGATACTTTAGTAACCCTTAACAATCCATCAGAATAATTCGCTGCTCTCGAGGATCTACTCGGAAAGTATATGTCTGCTTCTAATGCCTCCCTCAATGTCGCCCGTCTGGTCTCCCCTCTTTTGGTCCTGTTGCCAACATCATCATTGCCGACGACTCTATCATTAGAAACTTTTCCTTCTGCTCCGTCCCCATTCCTGTCATCCTCCGCCTCCCTTTCACTTCCCTCCTTCAACATGCGCTACCCCCTTCCCATCCTTTCGCCCCCACCTTTTCCCCACCCTCCGTCATCCTAGCTGACCATCTCACCCTACGTCAGGATCTCTTTGGATCTGATATCTTTGATTACAACTCTACTTCCAACACCATTGTTTTCAAAGAATCTTTTGAGCACCTCCCTCATCCTCACTGCAGTCGCCGTGCCATCAATTTCATACATGATCAATACCTCTTCCTCAATACGTTCACCCTAAACACCATGCTCACAAATATCCCTCGTCCCCTCCCCACTACTGATCAATTACCCACCGACCTCCTCCATACTCACCCTTGACTTTCTCCACTCCCTTCTTCTCTCCATGATCTCCTCACACTTTGATCTAGATTCTCAACAATTCCATCTAGTCCCTGCGACTACCACTGGTTATAAATCCTTACCTTCCTACCATGTTCCCCCCAAACCTCCATCTGTCTTATCCTCTGCCAAATGGAAACGTCTCTGGTCCTTACGTATCCCATTGAATGCACGTAACGCCTGGTTCCGCATCCTTCATAATAAAGTCGCCACAAGAGACATTCTTCATGAACGGCAACCTCATATCCACCATCCCTTTTATAAGATCTGCCACTCATCCACCGAATCATTGGAACACTTCCTCTTTGCCTGTCCCCACAAACGATCCTTTTGGTCTTCCGCCCTCTCCACTTCCATGCCCCCCCCTCTCATTTCCCAAAACAGTTACCAAAACTTCCAGAAATTCCTTCTTTCCGAACACAACCCTTCTCGTCAAGATCATTCCATCTATCTGGATCTCTCTGCTTACCAGGTTTTCGCCTGCATGCTACAAACTATATGGTATCACCACTACCAGTTTACATTCCAGGACAAACCTTTCCTACCATCACTTTTACTCTCATCACTTCGTAGCTCATTAAATACCTTACATTTCCAAGAAACCTTAGATCAGTCTTCATAATTAGTCCCCCCAATATATATCCAGTCTTTTTTCCTCTCCCATCTAATAGGCGTACGTAAAAGGACTTTAAATAAAGCAATACAATTGCCCTACAAAAAAAATTTTTTATTCGACTACTGGGAAGCTGGGAAGGCCCAGGCAGAGGAGCATATTAATTTTATTGTTCATTATTTTTTTTCAAGAAGGGCCAAGTAGAGAGTTCCTAAACCACCACTTGAGTATTACACATACTTCGCTACTATAAGCGTAGAGAATTTGAATTCACAAGATCTAATCTTTACGACTTGAAATTTTGATGGAAGGGAGAGTTTCAGGGCTTCTCAAATGATTTCATCAACTTAAAATACTCGGAAACATTTTTAATATTATCTTTTCAAGTATGGTGTTCATAGATAGATCAAGCCAATCAGTTTCATTGATACTCCATCATGATCTGATATACTGTTGCATGGTAGTTGATAGTTGTGAACTTGATAATCTTTTTGATTCGTAACTTAAATGCTAAAAGCAAGGCATGTTTGCTGAGAGTATTATTCTCTTCTTCGTCAGAGTAATGTGCATCGCTAATGACACAAGGTACAGCTGAATTCATGATCATCGTAAAATGCCAGGAGGAGGTAACAAACATACTGAATAGATAAAATTATATACGACTACAAAGCTTAAACAGTACTTTGTTACATGCCTTTAATAAAACGAGTAACTTGATTCCACACATTGGGAGTTACAATGGATTTAACTCGAATTAAAGAAGTTTTATGGCTGAATAAGCTACAGCGCGATAATATGCTTTATGCATGGTAAAACATGCAATGTTACAAGAGTTACGCTTTCAATATATGATGATAGATGTAATTTGTCTACCTAAATAAAGAAGACGCTCGACATAAACGTCTCAATAAGAGCTTGCTCCTAGTCGATTTGCTTTCCCATGTCCCTTTAAACATGTTTGTGTATATAATTTGCATTCAATGCAGTTAATCATCTGAGATTTTCTAGAGTCTAATGTAAATCAAGTGTGATCATTGCTCTTTAATGAGGCCCAAGAATTCGGTGCATTGCGTATGACTACCTCCTCCTTTATACCAAGAAGAGAATGTATTAAAAATCACTGCAACTAGGTTTATAAAATAAAAGAAGGTTCGACATGACTGACAGGAAAATCTGTATAAAAGAGACTGATTTCTGTTTGTGATAATTTGAAACTGACCAAATGTTTAGTCAGAGATTGCTTGGAAGCCCAGGTTTTTAAAGAGATTATGTTGGAGAGGGTGCATTCAAATATACGTGTATATATATATATATATATATATATATACATTCTGAATAATAGTGTGCTATTATTGTACATAAGCTCACAACATTGTATTGTAGCCATCGTGTATTACTCGAAAACAAGTTATCATTTGTTAAAGCCTCCAATTTCAGACTTGATGCTTAATATGTCTGTACATGTGTATTTTCAAGATGTATAATACACGAAATGCATTCTGATATAGTATACAAATATGCTGGCTACCTTGCACTCGTCTATTCAGGTATCATGGAGTGGTTTACATCATTAGGTAGGATAAAAGTTGTCTGTTCTATCTTTATAATAATGCAAAAGGGAATCCACCGATGAGTGTAAATCGACAAGGCTGCTCCACATGTTGAGAGCCAAACATCAAATTGGAATGCTCAGCAGAAAGAGCCTCTTACTACTGCCAGCAAGCGCTTTTTATAACACTTTTTGATTCTTTTTTGTGGTATAGTTTATTTCGCTGTTTGTTTACATCAAGAAAAAGATCTGCAAACCCCTATTTTAGCCGAAGAAAGCTTGTTTTTGAACGGTGCACTAGGTCCCCAATAAAAAGAGCGTAATTTTCTATTTGCGTTTATCAGTTGGTATATCATACATGCATAAATCAGCGATATTCTTTGATTTCGAGATTTTTTCAATTTTAGTAAAAAGTAGATAATTCACGGGCAATGTTGATGCAATTGAAAACTCGCTGGATAGATAAACTACTGGCGTATAGATATGAAGAAATAATAGAGTGACAGTGCAAAGTATAGCCAAAGCAAAATCATAAAACCCTGGAAACACATCTCTAAAAGAGACTACATCCTCTGGATATATTCAATAATGTTTTCATCGTATATACATGGCGCTAAATTATTCCCTTGCTGTCCCCCTCTTTTAGCGCCTATTTAAATCTTTTCTTTATATCGTGCTCAACTAAATCGACTGTGGTTTACTCACATTGATACTAGCAATTGCGGTTTTAATAGCAAGCATTGTCTGCAGAAAATGATTAGTTGAGGGGGGAGGGAAAGACAAGATAAAGGAGTTGCGTGATGTATGCACAATATTGAGATTTCTATCTGTACAAAAACAGCAAATACTAGTGTTTTCTCCTTCATCTCAATCGAAAATATGATGTAGAAGGGGAAAAAAGCGTATTTTATAGAGATGGTTTGAAAAAGGAGCTTTGGCATTACCTTGCATTTGTGTATATATACAACAAGTCTCAACTCCTGAATTAGCTAACAAATAAATGGAATCAGTGCTTGATTCTATCAGAAAATTAGCACCTTTTTTCACTCTGCATAGTTCAAAGACTAACATGGCTTTGATTAAACGAGAAACTTTGTCCGAAGATAGTGGCAACTATGCCACTGCTACTACGAAATACGGGTCTACTCCTACAAACAACAACAACAATAACAACAACAATGGCTACAATACCAATAATAACAATATTCCTTACAACAACAATAATAACAACTGGCCTATTGCTAACAACAACAATAACAATGGCTACAATACTAATAACAATGGTTACAACAATAATGCACCTTCTTATTTACCCATTGATATTGGGGATCAAGGGGGCAAAATGAATGCCAAGGTTGTCATCATTGTAGTTTCGGTCATCTGTGGCGTAGGTTTACTTGCTGAGCATTGAAAAAGAAATTCCAATCCTTGCCTGTCAGTACGTTTTAATAATAATAATAATAAAAAAAAACGCTCAAATTTCTTGTATCATATGGTGCTCTCTTCTGCCCTTTTCTATCCACTCTTAAATCAGACTAAACTTCTCTAATACATTATAATATAAAGAATATGCTTTATTCAGTGCTCAATAAAAATGATAGTAAAACATTAGGTCTTAAGGTATTATATTTACAAAAGCATCTTTGCGACGAATGCAGAGACAGCTAATGTTGTGGTGAAAGAAGCAATGCTGCGACCAGCACCAGAGGATTCACCGTCAGTGGCAGCTTTGTTCTTCTTGTCATCGATTTCCTCCTTGTCATAATTGGTAGCATCCCAAGTGCTTTCAGACGTGTAAGGGCCCAAAGGAGGTAGATCATCAACATCGTTAAAGTTCAATTGCTGTTGAACAGCAACAGATCTAGTATTGACCCATTCAGCAACACCCATACTCTCGCCGTCAGTAGCATTCAAGTTGTTTTCAAAGTTCCAGAGAGTCCATTGAGGCTTAATACCGACGGATTCAGCAGGGAGACTAAGATCGTATTCGACATCTTCTCTAAGCATAGCCTTCCAAGCCTCAAGACGAGGGTTAACAGCACTGGCCTTGAAGAAACGCTTTACAAGAGTTTGGACAACTTTCTCAAATTCAGCCTTGTAATAGGGTGACTTGATAACAGCATCAATCAAAGGACGTTGAGAATCAGGACGAGTAAAGTTTTCATAAGGAGTAGTAGACATATAGTGGGGAGCACCCAGACCAAAGGTTTCATCAAAGTCGTAACTGATTATTGTCCATTGACCAGAGCTGGTTTCCTTTGTGAGATAGTAGTTACTAGCTTGATGCCAAAAGCCTGTTTTAGCTATTTAGTAACATGCATATACATGGGCTAGGACTATTCAAACTTACCATCCCAAGAACCAGAGAGGAAGTTCATTGCCATGTGGATCATGAGATTTTGAGGATTAAGAAGCTTCTCGAGAGGGCCTTTGCTTGCTTCATCAACCATTTGAGTAGGATCAATAGCAGCGAGCTCCTTGATGAATTCAATGAGAGGAGTTTTTGCATTAGTCTCGTTAAGGGTCTTCTTCATGTTGCCTGCATCTTCAAGCTTATAGATGGTGTCATTGTAAGATTCTTGCAAATCATCCTTGTAGACGAGGTTGCCTTCAAAAGAAGGGCTCAAAGCGTTACCCTTATAGGTGGGACCAGTGTATTGGAACTTTTGATTGCCACCACGCAAAGCGGCATTAATAAAGTTGGTAGTGGAATCATCAGTCATCAAGTAGAGACCCATTGGTTTGTTGTTTACAAAGAGACGAACAAAGTTGCCTTGAAGAGTAGCACCGCCAGAGGCAGCCAAACAGTCGAGCATCAACTTTTCACGACTAGAGACATAAGCATAAACATTAGTAAACATACAGGCAAATGGAAGGGTCAGAATGCTTACACAAAAGTGGGATCAGTTTCGTGGGCTCTTAATTTGAAGGTGGTACGGCCGTAAATAAGCTCCTTGGGGCCAGTCTTGGTGAATTCATTGAGCTTGACCTTGTAGGATTGCTTTGCAAACTCTCTAGTAGATTGCCCACTGTTCTTAATACCAGCATTGGTGAAAGAAAAGACCTCCTTATTGGCAATGTAAGTCATTTTGGAAACTTGAGTATAATCATGGCTACCGAGAGGATTAGCCAAGATTTCACTGAAACCAGTAGCATTGGCTTCCAAAATGATGGTGGCAATTTCATCGGAGCGGTTCATATTGCTTTGAAGAGGGTGATAAATGGGGTTGTAGGCTTGAGGGAGAGCAGGCACATTGTAGACAGTTTGGGTTCTATTGAAGAATTCGTTACCAGTGGCAGCAATACCAGCTTGTTGGGCTCGGAAGTTGGTTTCAACGACATCACCAGCACCACCAGTGAGGGAATATCGGTATTGCTCCCCAGCAGGAGCAACGCCCTTGAAGATGTTGGGATAATCAGTGGATCTGGTTAAAGGATAGGCTTGACCACCCACAATGACAGCTACATTTTGCTGATCTTGGGGGAATGCGACGACAGAGTATTCGACATCTGCAGCTTGAATAATTTGAAAGAAAAGGACAGCTAAACTGAGGTAGCTAACAAATCTCATTTTGGATTGATGTATTGTGTAGGTCTATAAAGTGTTTCTCGTTATCAATGAGTCCTTCATATTTATATGATTTTCTCAAATTGTAGAATATTCAGAACAATGTAATAATTCATTTTCCTCATCTTCTGATTATACTGCAATATTGTGCGTGTTTGTGTATATACTCTAAATCTTTTTTTAGAAATGTATCTCAGTGTTTACGTGTTGTCTTGAAGATCTACCAAAGCATCATCGCTATTGAAGCCATGTATAGACAACACCAAGTAACTGAAATCATTCCCAATGCTATATGCTATAGGCACAGGCACTCTTATTGTCTGATCTATGCTAATGCAATGTAACAGCAATTACCATATTCAACGCCTAGTACAAATATAGCGTTCAATACAGAAAAATCTTTCCGGGATTTACAGAAAGTCTGAGTTTTCCATCACTTCTTCAAAGTCTTTTCTGACTGATCTTGCAGTGAAGCAAGCACTTGACAGTGGTTATTTTTATTAATTCTTACAAGACTATTTTACTGTTCAGAGGTCTATAAATAAGTGCTCAGGTCGTATCAAATACGCTGTATAATGCTCCTGTTTTCTACAGGATTGTAAGCAACGTGAATTTCAATAAACCAATGTAGATCTGCATTGGCATTTGCCCTGCCAATAAACAGATCATCTACATTCATTGAATTAACCCAATCTTCAGCTGAATGCCCATACCAATTGCCATACTTGTCGACCATGGAATACCTATTATTAAATTATAGAATCCTTGACTTTTCTTACATGGAAAAAAAGACCACATCCGTGTAACATGCTTGATAAATACGCCTGCTCACGTTTGTTATTGCTTGTGCTACCAACATGAGTGATATTATTATGCGGTTTTTTAGCGTCGACCTGGTATAAAAACAATAACCAGATGAGTGGGGACCCTCTTTTTCTGTGCAATTCATCCAACAGGATTATATCATACATGCTTTATTTTTAGGAGCTTAGCAATGCAATGAAACAAATTCTATTATAAATGATAGAGTCATTGCAATCGAGAAAAAGCATCATCTAATCTATTAATGCAAACATAACCATGGTTTCGGATTGACATGTGCGCACACGCACAGTGTCTTGATGATTTACATTGGACTCATAAACGTTTCCCTGGAATTGAATAGGATATACGGGAAACTTCCTCCGAAGACTAGCAGATATTATTGGTTAATTTGATTCTCAAGGCTTCTCTTCATCATGATGAAGACTTACGGAAGATCTATGGACAGAATATTTCACTGCTTTTGAAGCATAATTAATTTTCATCATTTTGAGGTCTATTATGAGAGCGAGAGAGCTCTTCTGGCGGGGAGGCCAAGTTGTAATTGGAACGGATGTGCCTTGTGAAGATGCCTCTAATATTTAAGACGCTATTGGTATCTCGACTCTACATCTAATGTGCCTGTTAGTATGCAAATATGAAGTCTAACAGTGAGTAACTACACGCCAGAAGACCACAACAGTGTATGGAAAAAAAGCGTGATTTGCATATAACCACAAAGCGTTGTTCATCTCTCATTTTGCGATCCAATGTGTTTTAGATATCGCGTTGTATACATTTACAGAGAGTCGAAGAAGAAAATAATCAAATGCTTTTAATCTTTCATTGTTTGCAACACACAACATATACTTGATAATAACCATTCGACTGTAATTACGGCAGTGCAGTTTCGTTCAAGCCAGTCAAATCACTATCTCATAAATCAGTCATTGCTTGCAATAAATGCCTTATTGGCATGGGCCAATTCAGCATCATTGCACGGTTGTATGAACGGAAACAATTCATTCCTAAATGGATAGCATACTGGCAGTACCGCTTTCTATTCACAAATATGCAAAACACAGCTAAATTTGGATGCATTTGAGCTACTAATTCTCGCGTTAGAAGCCGATTTAGATCACAGGAATAGCACCAAACAATTGCTCTCGCCTCGTATTACCTTGCTGGCACCTTTGCTCAACTTTTTTTTTGGATCGCCATAAATCGACCAAAAAGCATAAGGTACCCCTCATGGCTTTTATCAAAAAAACAAACGATCGCGTTTTTCATCTCCAAAATGAAGACTTTTACTAAGCCATATATTACTTCAAAATGTTGCCCTCGATCCAACGCAACCCCTGAAATCACGTTTGAGGGATCTTCATATGCAAAATCTTGACATTTTTGCCAAAAACCATATTTCATATTTTCTAAAATTGCTCAATGTGTTTGTTCAAAATGTCTTCTATTATTAGCACTATTAGATACGCCTTGAAAAGTACTCCTAGAATGCATTAGGAAGCATTTTTTTTTTTTTTTTTTGTAGGGGAGTCGAGCTCCAGGTTTTATTTAAAGTCCTTAAAATGTCATGCTGAGGGAAAGAAAAGACTGTTGGTGGACCCAATGTCTGCAAAGAAGGGGAATAAGATATTTTGAACTAAGTTGGGAAAGAAATCTACTACTAATAAGGTGCGACTCCTAGAGCCAGTACAGTCTTGCGGAAATCGTCAAAATATAGATCATGGATAAGAGTACAAAAACACCAAACGAGGACATCAGTACTACGTCAAAAAATCAAACAACTTGCGTCCACCAGGATTTGAACCGGGATCCTCCCGTTGGCATACGGGAGTTTTACCACTTCGCCCTACCACCAGGGGCTGCATTAGGAAGCATGGGACAATTATCACTATTTGTATAGTCGAATCAGGAAGAATAGTTCAAACAAGTCGAAGAATAGCAAAATTTGTCCAATCTAAAACGAAAAAAGTTAGTCGGAGTGTTAAATAAATTGGCTCGTTGTTGTTACGTTCGTTACTGGCAAAATCATTTCATTAAGACTTGCTGCTTTCAGAGCAAACAAGGGGACAGAAAGTCAGCTATCGATCGAGGAAAAAGCAGGCGTTTGACATAGATCAGATGTAAAGCCAGATGCTGATTCTCAATGCCGGCCACCTTCCTATCCGTTGGAATCTGATAGCCTTATATACAGCAGCCGTGGATGATTGGATGGCGGGTACCAAGAAAGTGCAGTTAATTAGCGACTAATGGTCACTCGATGCACAAATGCATTAAAATCTCCTGATTATAGATAGATTGATTTCCTACATGTTTTATTTTCTCAAATTGTACAGCTAGTCCCTACAATGCTGGTTCATTATAATAAATAGCGATTTTTTTGCAGCTCAATTTGCCCAATTTGAAGTGAGATGCTGCTGTCATGGTATAAGATTGGCTTGATGAAATCTGCAGTAATAGATGTATCCGTCAGCTTCAACTTCCTCAACTTGGTTCCTCTGGGTACATTATTGAAAAAGTCAAACAGAGTTTGGTCATTAATCTGCTGTCCCTCCAATTCAATGGTCCTTAATTCCAAGCAAGCTGCTGGATGATGTGGTGTCAGCAGCTTTGCTAATGTATTTCCTAGCTCCAGCGTGAGTAAATCTCTGCAATTGGAGATTGTCAAGCATTGTAATCTGGGATGGGTTTGACAAAAGTCGAGCAATTCTTGATGAGTTACTGCGTCCATCTGGACCAAGTTCATTGACTTGAGCTTTCTCGGCGGTAGAGTCATAAATGCAGACGCCAGGAGTGGTGTTGTCTTCAGTGTCACATGCTGTAATTGTGCAAGGCCAGAAAAATCACAATCCAGCATGAATGGATAGGAATCAATACCACCCATGCACAGTGTATGCAGCCTAGTATTGTATTTAGTGATTTCTCGGATAGTTTCCGTTTTCAATGTAGTTGGATGTCCTAGCGTCATTTCCACAATATTTGGGCAGCACTTGACAAGCTTCGATGCTCGCATATCAATACCATACTTGTTTACTGGAGTCAAATCAATAGACCTAATGAAGCTTCCATACGGTAGAATGGAATTGCAACTTGTAACCGTCTTGACAAAACTGATAAAAGTCAAGTAGTTTTTGATACGATAATGTCTATTCTCGAATGCTTTAGTGTATGTGAAGTAGAGCTTTGCATAGCATACTCAGCTCATTTTTACCTGTACAACAATTGACATGCGAAATAAGCCCAGGTTTTATTCACCGTAATTGCAACTTTTACAAACTTGTTGCCATTGATAGCGATTGCATACTTGCATACAACTTGTTGCAAATCAAGCGGTAACCTGGGAACCATTTAGATATTCAAGTAATGGGTGAGTGTGTGAGAGAAAAATACTGAAAAAGCATATAATGTAGTATCCATTTTCAAAACATAGAGTGACCGGGCTAGATATGCCACACTCTTGTCATGCTCACATTGCGAGTCGGACATCCAGCGTTTTGAAGCAGCTATAGTTTATGAGCATGCTCTTGATGAACGATCAGAGACGCATGTAGGCAGTCTAATACTGACTTGCCGTACTAGGCAATATGTTTGACTTTGGTATTCATAAGAGATTCAAGCAAAGATATATGTCGTATTGTCATGTCGTTATTTTTTTTTTTGCATGATTCCCTGTATCGAATTTCCATAAATATCTCCACAATTCAAATGCTTGAGCCCTCATGTCAGAAATATACAGCCAAGTTGGACTTGATGAAATGCTCAATGAAAAGCAATTCCACGATGTAGCCCAGATTTGTAAAGATGGAATTTGGTGGTGCCTTCACTTTAATATTCTCATGAGCAACATAACGGATTTATTATTACCCTCCAATAAAGCATGCATGATCTTGCTCATCATGGATCTACAATGTATCATTCTGCCAATGATACAGTCTTGCGTTTACAAACTATGAATGAAATACAATATTTCGGTGGTATTTATGACACATTTGATCTTATGTATACAAGGCTTTTCGCTATAAAGAATTCTTGTTGTGAGTGTTGCCATGCTCATACATTTTGTTGCATTTGGATGCAAATAAAATACATCACACCATATTCATCAAATGATGGCATAAATTGCAATAATGCTCAAGAAAAAAAATGGTATCAACCAAACAATTCATCAAGTTAAGATTGTTGCGCCATCATCTAGATGATTGCGTGCACTATTTGACAGTAATCTTTCAATACTGTTAGTATTTGTACCTGCTTATCAATTCCCGAGCATTAGGCTTTAGTATCCAGCATAAGAAAACGTCAAGATATCACATGTAACTTATAAAACGGCCATAGTATCTCCAATGCTACGTAAAGACACCTTTGATTTGAATCCTTAGTTTGCGCTTTTGAGATCCCATTGCTCATTTTGAAGAGCAAAACGAAAAATTACTGCAAAAAGCGTGTGTAACTTGCAAATCCTATTATGGAATTTAAAGCAGAATCGCGCAATCACTTCAATTCATTTGCAAAAGTCAACTAGACAATAGTCATTTGTTATGGGAAAGTTGTCTTATTTACAAAATATATAAATACTAGATAATATTTACCATTTTTACTGCAATTCATCAAGTATAAATCATATATCTGAAAGAAAATCACAATGGCTCCTCCCAATACTGACGCTATCGTTCAAGAGATCGAAAAACTCAACCTTCAAACCCTCGCTCGTACCAAGGGAAACTACTTGGTTTATCCTGATGTCAAGGTAAACTATTGCAAAGCTTGAGCAGTACCATGTTACTTACATTTACATAGTACCCTGAACTCGAATTATTTGATCATCAAGATCCTGGACATCGTGCTGATCCAAAGAAGGCTTCTCTCTACGACAATGCTGAAAAGATCTTTGATTTGACTCCTCACATTGGTACTGAGGTTCATGGCCTCCAATTGAGCGCTTTGACCGATACTCAAAAGGACGACTTGGCATTGTTGGTTGCTGAACGTGGTGTTGTCTTTTTCAGAGATCAAGACATTGACGTTTATCAAGCTCGTGAATGGGCTAAATACTTTGGTCCTCTGTAAGTTGCTGAAATGCATCTGCCTAAATACCACAATACTTATTCTCTATCATTAGCCATATTCACAACACATTTGGTCATCCTCCTGGACTTCCTGAAGTCCATGTTGTCTACTTTGATGCTGATACCTTGAAAAAGTACAAGTCCATTGGTGGTGTCAATTTCGGTCAACGCAGTGCAGCAGACGGCTGGCACTCAGATGTTACATACGACAATCAACCAGCTGGCTTGACTTTGCTCAAGATTGACACGTTACCTGAAGAAGCTGGAGGGGATACTTTGTGGTCATCTGGGTACACTGCCTATGATAGACTCTCACCCGCTTTCCAAAAGTTCCTTGAGGGTTTAGAGGCTGTTCACTCTGGTCAACAGCAAGTAGACGAAGCAAACCGTGCTGGCCATGTTGTTCGTCGCAAGACTTGGACCTCTGTTCATCCCGTTGTTCGTACTCACCCTGTTACTGGCTGGAAATGTAAGGCATTTAATGATTTGTTGTTGCTGTTGATGGTGATCTAACACTTTACATTCTGATAGCTTTGTTCGTCCAGCCTGGCTTCACTCGCTCCATTGTCGGCCTCAACAAGCGCGAGTCTGATATCATTCTTCAATATCTCTTTGACCACATCAGTGGCGGTGTTGACTTCCAAGTTCGTTTCAAGTGGCAAGAAAACAGTGTTGCTGTTTGGGATAATCGTTCTACTAACCACAATGCTGTCTTTGATTATCTATTTGGTAATAACAAGCGCCACGGGTACCGTCTCACACCCCAGGGCGAAAAGCCCTATTATGATCCCAACAGTAAATCAAGACAGCAAGATTTGGAGGAGAGAGAAGCGAAGCAATTGAATAAGTAGATATAAAGAATGGTGCTGTCTATTTACAGTTATACCACCATCATAGCTATAGCTTCAACAATCAGTTATCTACATATCTTTCTGTTGTGTATTTCATATTATAATAAACCTATTTTATTAAAATACTAAGAAAAGAAATACCTATTTTATCGTTGAAGAAGACAACTAATTTACTTCAGATGAATGCAATAGATTGAGCACCATAGCTTATCTGAAGTAGTATTACGAAAACCTACAGATTGTCAACGATACTATCCTCGTCGCCAAAATTTTCATCTCTAGAATCCTCGCTGTCGCTGTCCTCATTGGAAAGCGCATATTTGACACCATGAAACTGGCTAGTGTTTGCACTGGATCAATAAAACGTGTCAAATAATTAAGGTAGGAAAGCGAACACTAACCACTTCAAGGAATACAGTGTTTCGAGGCTAATGCCTGTACAACTGAAGCAGAACATAGCCAAATTTGGACCAAAAAGCATGAGGGGTACCTCATGGTTTTCATCGAAAATCAAACAATCGCATTTTTGACCTCAAAAATGAAGACTTCCACTAAAGTATATATTAAATCAAAATGTTCCTCTCAATCCAAAGCAACCCCTGGAATCACTTTTGTGGGGCCCTGATATGTAAAATCTCGACATTTTAGCCCAAAACGACATTTCATATTTGCATTGATTGCTCCATAAGTTTGTTCAAAACACTTGCTATAAGTAGAACCATTGGAAGCGTCTCGAAAGGTGCTCCTAGAAAGCTTATGCGAGTATGGTCGAGTCATTGCGACTTACATAGTGAAATTTCGTAAAACAAGTCGAATCGAGTCCAAAAAGTTACAAAATGAACAAATCACAACAAAATGTAGAGCGGCCATTTAGTCCATTTTGGCTGCCCTGCTGCATGCCTAATCATTGATGATAGTCGATGTTTGTGAAGCTGATGGCAAAGGAATTGAAGGTTGAGGCCTACTGAAGCTTAGCGTGGCTACTTTAGCCTGCATCTGTCGCGTGCTTTTTTTTATTTTTTATTTCTGTGAAGTTTGATCATTCCAAATGGCGAATCCAAATGCAAAAAAGCGAGATATAAAATGCCACATCAATGCCCTGCTCAGGATTACATAACCCACCACTCAGCATTGTATCACCACCAGAAATAGTCCTTACAAAGGTTGAATGCATAACAATGGAGGACAGTCGCCGAAATAAAGATGTGGTATGCAGTATCCACAGATTTGGGCGTATCAGCGTAGTGCACATGGATATTGGAGCTCGGCGCTCTCGGCACCCCCAATTTGACACGGTGCACATAAATTTGGATCCGACGAGCACCGAATAAAATTGGATGCATTTCTTTTCTATACGCACAACATGGATCGCCTTCCACTCGAGATTTACAACCAAATTACCTCCTACTTGACATACAATGAAAAACGAAAGCTTCTACTTGTGTGTCGCTATTGGCACAGCATGATCAAGAACGGCAACCTGTTCAACAGTTTTGGCATCAAAGGACCTCGAAAATTTGAGGCTGCTGCATTATTCTTTGATGAAAACGCATCACACAGAAAGCAGGTGCGCAGTTTACGCTTAACTAAACCAGAAGCTAATCTTGACTATGTATTGACGGTGCCGGAGCGTTTTCCCTGGATCAAGGACTTTGTGTGGGCTCATTATGGTGCGCACCAACATGAGATAGCAGCCATCACGCACACCAAAGTCTATCACTGGAGCAATTTGACGAGTTTTGAAGAAGTGAATCGATATCCATTGTCGACAGATATATTGAAGCATGGCGGTTTTGGTAACTTGACAAAATTGACCATCAGTTTTCATTTCAGTGGTGCTAGTTGCAGTGCCTTGGTGCAACAGCTCGTCAACGCACCTAAACTCAAGTACATTGATTTTGCATCTCCCAACATGGCACTTGCGGATTTGAAGCAATTGCACTTGAATGTGCCGCAGTTGGAGATTCTGCATTTGTCTGGTGTTGTGCAAGAAGAGGACGATTTTCTTCAAGGGCATGGACTGGAAACAGTGAGCATCGCTGGCCATTTGGCAACACTGTGGATGCGAAATATGAATTTAGCGAGAGGCGGGTTTGGATTGACGAATGCTTGGATGGCGTACATGGCAGCAAAGTACAGACAACTCGACAGTTTGACGATAGATGGTGTGGGCATGACAAGAGGGAGACAGGATTACTACGAGTCAAGATTAACGGATATCGCTGCTGAATGCCGGGGACTCACCACATACAAAGTCAATCTCTTTCCACTGACCTCAAGGATTGTGTCGGCCATGGACAGCAACCAAGTCAAATTGAAGAGAGTCGATCTCACAGGCGACTCCACAGAGAACCAAATTCAGCACTTGCTCAACTCTCAGCAATGTCAATCGCTAGAAACCATCACCATGGATAACATGCAACTTGCACCCCATGTGCTTTTCAACGCTTTAGAAGGATTCACCAAGCTCAAACATGTAGAGATTGGATACAAACACAGACAAAGCGTGTCTCTGGATGTTGTGTTACAGAAACTGAGATATCTAGAGACACTCAAACTATCCACATGGCATATTTGGCTTGACAGGCATGCAGTCGCCACGTTTCAAACAAAGTTGCGATCTCTGGTTTTGGAGAAATCCGATATTGATACGGCAAATGGGGACGTCATGTCGTTTTTAGCGAGCACCTGTCCTGATTTATCTAAATTGTCCATCCAAGGTCAAGTTCAGGATAACAACAACAGCAACACAGTGTTTCGAGTAGAGTTTCCTCAGCATTATTTTACATCCATCAAACTGGACATCTTTGGCAATGAATACTATCGAGTGAACAACCAACGCCAGGCAACATGGTATCAGTTTAGCGGCAGAAAATTACTGGCATCACACCAAGATGATCAAGCCATCCCAAAGGACCAGCCCCATGTATCCATTGTTTATAAAGGCTCAGCCAATCTGAACATTGGAGGAACCGATATCCCAAACTGGTGAGAGAGAGAGAGAGAGAGTGAGAGAGTGAGTAAGCCTCGAAAAACCTGTTTGAAATGAATGAAATATACGAGCGCGGGAAGACAAGAAAATTTTACCCAAAAGGCGGCATGATCCGAAACAACAATAACAACAACACTGCCCATTATAAACTCATGGATTGCCTTTTTTCTTCTTTTCCTCTCTTTCCCCATTCCCATATATTCGTTTGGTGCTATGTCCGACTCTAGTTCGGATGAAGCATTCTTCGATGCCCATGAGACCAGTACTCCTAATAAAAAAAGTAAGCCTTGTCTAGTGCCAGCAATGCTACATGTTCCAAGATGTTTATGAATTGAAATTTCTTTTTTCATAGCACAATCACCGTTTTCTGAGGATGATTTATCAACATCGCTCCGAGTGCATAAGCACTGCATGCACCATAAAAACCGACTTTCATTGAATTCAGATTACATCTCAAGTCCATTGGCAACATCCTCCAATACGGACAAAAAGTACCACAGTCGAACAAACAGCTTCAGTTTTGAAGAGTACCAGCATGGTACTACAACAACGAGCTCATCCCACTTTCGGAATCACTACTCAAACACATCCAGCGGGTAAATTAGTTGAAGCGAAAGGGTGTGATTTTGGCTGTGCTGTCATGGCAACACTAACATTGCGGCGGTGTCTAGTTACAAAAAGCACGCACGAGTGCACAGTTGGTCAGAATCCAGTTATCGCAGTGGCTCTCCATTTACATCCTCCTCTGTGGGCAGACCAAGCCATGATTCCAATAGAACATCGCTTCTCGTAGGTATCCACAACCAGTTTCACCCTCCTCACCAAGAAACACCACCGCATGGAAAGTCGTATGTCAAGGTAAGGTTCAAAGACATGTCAAATTATGCACACACACACACACACACACACACACACACACACACACACACACAAGGGTGATGACTTGAAATCTATAAAATTAGATCAAGACCAAGATCAAAACAAACAAACGATTTAACCGCATTGTATTGGCTCAAACGTTAGCTGTGGATACTACCGAGGTGTATGCAACAACCGGGATCAAGATCGAGGACACGGATGCAGAGGATCCAAAACAACCAATGGGCGCTATTTGGGCAAACAGGTTCAGTAAGGACGGTAAGTATATGGCGACAGGTGGACAGAGCTGTGTGATCCATGTGTGGAAAGTGCTGAGGGATCTGGAGCGAAACGATAATATTGATATACAAGATTTGCTGCCACATGAACCGTCCATCAAAGTGTTTCATGATGCGCCCGTCAGAACGTTTATGGGACACACGGCAGATGTATTGGATTTAAGCTGGTCAAAGGTTGGTGGTGGGTTTGTTGTCATGAATAGCAAGTTATTCATGCTATTATAGAACAATTTTTTGGTCTCAAGCTCAATGGATAAAACGGTGAGGTAAGTGCGTGCTTTGATACCATAGAGCATGACTGATGTATATATATATATATATATGTATGTATGCAACAGGCTGTGGCACATTTCTCAAAAAGTGTGTCTGTGCGTCTTTAGACATCTAGACGTTGTTACTAGCGTCAAATTTCATCCCAAGGTAAGTCTTTTGAGCTGTGCGAATTTCCCTATCCTGGTAGTAATCTGTCTGTAGGATGATCGTTTCTTTCTGTCAGGCTCATTTGATTGCAGAGTCCGGCTGTGGAGCATTCCAGAGAAACGAGTAGCATTTTGGAACGAGATCCCAGCAGGCAACATGATCACCGCTGTTGGATTCACGCTGGATGGTCGAATAGCCTGCGTAGGTGCCAACACGGGCGATGTCTTCTTTTTCGAAACACAAGGCCTAAAATACAACACGCAAATTCTGGTCAAGAACCACCATCACAAGCGCGGTAAAAAGGTGACAGGTATAGAACCCATGCCAGGCATGCCTTTGGGAGAAGAGCGTATTCTGGTCACAACCACAGATTCCAGAGTGTGGATCATCAATATGAAGGACAAGAGTTTTGTCTACAAATACAAGGGTGTTGTCAATTTGGTCATGCAGAAGGCCTCGTTCAGCGACGATGGACGGTACATTATATGCGGGTCAGAAGATGGATGCGTCTATTTGTGGTGCACGGATCAGGTCAATTATTCACCGTTTCAGCACTGGCAAGACAGTCGCATCAAAGCAGCAGTTGCATTGGGACATTTGGGAGACCACATGTTGCAAGCAGTGATGCAGAACGTTAACTTTTCTGATGAGCAATATGGTGGTGTGGCAGGCTGGCTAAAGCGGGGAGAACGGCGCATGATTGACAAGCTTAGGAGCCGAAATGAACACTTTATAGCACATCAGCATGTCGTGACATCCGCTATCTTTGCGCCTACGAAAACAAGACAGCTGCTCGCCAAGACTGGAGGGGACATTATCTTTGACAACACACCCGTATATACCCATCGAGAACCCCACAGTGATGTAGATACAGATGACAGCAGTGCCGCCGCATACCACGATGCTTTATCAGAACGACGAAGAAGCAGAACTTCATCGCAATTCACCAACGACATGAATGCCATCAAGCAAGAGCAAGACATGGATGAGTTGAGACGACTGCTGATGAACGAATTTGAAGAAGCAACACCGGAAGAACGAGATAGATACGATTATCCTGATAGTCAAATCATCATTTCAGCTGATCTGCACGGCGCCATCAAAGTGTGGCGTATGGACTCTGGATACTACCAAAATGAAGCAGATCAAGTCATCATAGGCGACGATGTCAGCATTGTCAATGATAGCGACACGTTTGCTACCTTGATTCCACCTCATAGCAGAGCTGGGAGCATACATAAAAGCTTGGAGAATGAACTCGCCAGCAGGAAAAAGCCTCCTAAAAAGGGGCCCTTGGCTAGTCTTTTAGCTAGATTTAAATAATAATACCACATACAATGTAACATATTTATTGAATAAACAATTACTACTACTGCTCTTGATTGCACAACATGGCAATCAAAGCACCACCAATACTTCCGCCGTCTTTGGCGATCTCCATTCTAATCTTGTCAGATACCTCTGTGCCAAACCAGCTACGCAATGAGCGGTGCACGCGTTCAGCCATGTAAGGGTAGAATTCATAAGTGGACCCATTGATACCAATGATAATATCATGGCCATCCTGAAGCCTGTCGAGTCCTTGTTGCTGAATCATGGCAGCAATGGCGGCACAAACCAAAGCAGCACTACGGAGAGCTACAATCTTACAGATGCGAGTCAAAATATTGATGTCTTGGTAGGTGGGTGCTTGCACAGAGTGGAACTTGCTGAGCAATTTGAAGCTTTCCTTCTTGCTTACTGTGTTATCACTGCATAGAACCTACTTAGCCGATAGTACCGGGCAATGAGCATGCGTCTTACCTCTCTAGAGCACTCATATACATGGTTGGGAAACTGTAGGGCTCATCAAATCCTTCAGGCACAATACCATCAAACAGTTCTCCCGCCTTGATAAAGTCCAAAGCAATCAGTCTGACCAACTCTCCCATGTAGGCACCCGACATCATCTTTTCGTACAGTTGAAACTTGGGTTGATTGTGAGCGGCATCCAAGGCCTTGTCATACGACGTCAAGGGGAGATACGACTCACTACCAAAGATGTCGATCTCAGTGTTGAGCAGCATTGTTGCATCAGTGTCTTGGCTGCTGTAGTAGTCTGGCTCCAGTTTGGCCTTCATGGCAGACACTTTTTCGGGGTAGGATGCATTAACACCCGTGGCAAAGATAAACCCAATGCGAGACCTTGGGTTGGCGTAGGCAGCTGCAACCAGTGTGCCAACAGCATCGTTCAGAATGGCGCTTACCTTGACATTCAAGCCCTAACTCCTGGTATCAGACTTTCGCAATGACCACCATGCTCTCTTATTCTGATCCTCACCTTGCGTTCAAATGCCTCATGTAACATGTCTGACAAGTCTCTTCCCTCTGTGTTTGTCAATGTGAAGCCTTTACCCATTCTCAAGATTGTGCCGCGATTCACGGTAACTTGACTGATAACACGCAAGTGTGTCGGTCAGTCAGAGGGTATTTCATGACAGCATGTATATAAAATACTCACTGAACAGGGAAACTCCAGCAAATGCCCAGCGCCAGGCTCTCTTTTCCTTCCAACTGATCACGACTAAACAAATGTCTTGCCTTGATATGTACCAATTCATCCATTGTATCAGCAATCCAATCAAAAAAGATATCACCCTGCCCCGTCTTGAGCTCCTTGGATGCAACACGCTTCAGCTCCAGGACCTCCACTTGGCCGTGTCCCTTGAGCCCGACAGCAGAGATGCGCAAATTAGTGCCTCCCATGTCCAGCGACAAGAAGGTGCCTGTCTCATTGCCTGTGGGCAGTTTTGTAACAAACGACGGGATCATGGTAGCCAGCTTGGTTGAAGGCGTGGTGAGACCCGTGTTGAGCTCCTTGATGAAGCCATGGACAATGGAAGCCAATGCGTCCCTTGTCAATACAAATTGACGCTCCAGGTCAGAAAAGAGCACATCGATGGGATCGGCAATAGTCATTTGCAATATTAATATGGAAAAGGAGGAGATGTATAGAGCAGCAAGACAACATGGAAGCCCCTACTTTTTATAGAGTAAGAAACAAGAGACCCTGAGCCCTTTTTCATGGATTTGTGCAACTTGATATCATCAACTGATGCCTCTCTCGATTTTACAAGCAAAAGAAAGGTTATGTAATTTCAGGGGGGGGGGGTACCTGATGGGAAAATAGACACAACTTTTGAACCCTTATATCCTGTTTATTTGTGTCATACACATGTGTTTACATAACTACAGGGTCCTTTTTGAAATATCTGTCTCACAAAAACCCCTATGCATCTCCAAGCAAAACGTGCCTTTGTATGCTATTAATATACGCCATCTCGTTTCTGTTGATCTAAATGATTTGGAATGTCGCTGCATAAATCAAATATTAGGTGCTTTTTGCGTCTTCGTTGAGACATGTCTTGTATCACATCAATACTTGCTTTCGATTGTATAACAGAGGAGAGGTATGAAGGTACTGTTGCACAGTGACACCAAGCAATACACAACTAGCTAAAGCACCACAGGAATAAAGGATTGCCCAATGTCTCTTTTTACTATGGAGACAGCCAGCACACGTTGACTCAGCGTTGTCGTCAGACCAGGCTTCATTATTACCAAAAACAAGGCATTTTCCAAGCACTAGATATCGCGAATGGTAAGCCATTTCAATCAGATCACACCCAAACCATCTTGGGAGAGCATTGCACCCGCAATAAAATGACGGTGTCCAAGATACCCACACGATACATAGTATTCAATACAAACATTCTATTATATACAAAATAAGGTATATTACATAAATCCCAACAAATTCGGATACGGAGGAGAGGAAGAGGATATAAAAGAATTATTCGACCTGAAGAAAATCCATCTTCAATGCTTCTTCAGCAGTGATACGTTTGTTGGGATCCAACTCCATTGTTCTGCGTAATAACATGACAGCATCATCAAGGTCTTTTTGTGGCCACGTCTGCATTTTCTCCTTGTTTAAAATTTCAATCAAATGTAGCCACGGCAGCTTGGCTTTGGGGAGATAAATGTTGGTTTCAAAATGTCGATCTACACATGAGAAAACATCAGCATCCACTGTGTCACTTGGAAATCAAGATGACCACTTACTATGGAGTTTAGCACATTCCTGAATCCTTTCGGTTCCATACACATGGCTCAATTCTATAAGCGCATCTGCTTCATCGTTGGATAAAAAGAAGGGGTATGTGTTGGTCAAAAAACAGAGTAGGATTACACCCGCTGCCCAAATGTCAATAGCTATACAAGAGAGAAACATTAGTGAGCCCGCTGCTTCTTTGATAGATCCAGTTGCATTGTTTACCACAGGTCTGATGAGTCACTCTCAACAGGATTTCTGGAGCTCTGAAACCACGCGTGCCAGCACGATTTGCCTTGATTGTCAGCCTTGGGTCGTTTCTATAAAACCCTTTGACCCCTTTGTTTGTGTTTCTGCTAGCAGATGTTGTGGTAGACGGTGTAGTGCTGTTGGTATTTGCCGCTGTTGCATTGGCTGATGTGGGTGCTGATATCGCCTTGTTGGTAAGTGCAGCTAATACAGAATTGGAGCTGGCCATTTTGGTTGGGCCTTGCTTACTTGCATTGGCACTGATGTTGCCACCATTACTGCCATTGTTGTCATTGTGTGCTTGAGGGTACACGTTAAACTTTGACATTTTGACAGCCTTTTCCACATATTTTTCCAACATCATGACATCGTCTTCACTCTGCAGAAATTGCCGCATGAGCAAACCAGCTCCAGACATCCAGTGTGTAGCTATGGTAACTTACCTCTGCTAACCCAAAATCAATCAAATAGCCCGCTCTCTTTCGAATATTGTACAAGAAATTGCTAGGCTTCACATCGCGATGCAAGATCTTGAATCGATGCAACTGCTGCAACGCAGTGAACAGCGACTTCATGTAATACTTGATATCGATGAGCTCCATTTTGTGAAAGGAGGGCTTGAACTCGTCATGTTGAATATAGGGCATCACGACAAAGACTTGATCTTGCTGTCTGAATGCTGTAATTAAAGGTGAGATACATTTGCTGCCTTTCAGTTTTTTGAGGATCTTAATTTCGTTTGCAATTCTGCGAGGACTGCTGGTATCATAGACTCGTTTGAGAGCAACAAACTCGCTCAAGTCTTTGGGCGAGGATGGCGTTGATGACGACGTTGTGCCCCCTCCTTGCTCTGTGTCTGCGCCTGCTTCTATCTCTGGTATTGCGTTTCGCTGCGATGAGGACGGTGAGACAAATGTGTTTTGCGCACTCTCTAATAATTGAGGCTCCCACTCGTTGTTGTCGTAATAGTCTCGACGGATATCTTGTGCTTTGTAGACAGTACTGAAAGTGCCCTCGCCAATCTTGTCTACCAACTTGTAGTAGTTGGGCAAGCACTTTACTGTCTTCATCAAATGATCGATCTCTTGGGCAATGCGAGCTTCTTCTTCTTCTTTACTGGGTCGCTTGTTTCCAGGCTGCTGTTGATGTGGGGGGCCCATATTACCTTCTTGTGGTTTGTCTGCTGTACCGGCGACTTCCTGCTTCTCTGCTGGTTTTTCCTTCTTGGGTGTTGGCTGGGCATTGGTCGTCTCCTTGTCCTTGGTGAGTTTATCTTCTGTCTTTGTGTGTGGTGTTGAAGTGGAAGCCTATCATAAAAGCATGATGAGCTCGAATTCCTCAGGAAGCTAACCTCCGTGCGAATACTTACTGCATCCTGCGATACATGCAAGGCTTTGGTGAGTGCGTCTGAATCAATTGGTGTACTTGCTTTCTTTCGCCGTGCTGTTTCTGCTGCTGTATCCAGAGGTTCTTCTGCTTTTCGTTTGTTTGAAACACTATTACCCTCATTGGGTGTTTGGGGAACAAGTGGTTCTGTAGAGGCATCCGATGGTATTCTAGAAGAGTACGATAATCTTTGTGGCGATTGATGATACATGCGAGGAGTCTGCGAGCGCTGTGTACTCGGTCTCTCTGGAGATCCTTCAGCTGAGCGAACTCGGCATAATTGCACTTCATCGTCAGAGGTTTCCTCCATTTCTTTGATACGAGGCTTTCTATGCTTTCGAAGTGGAGATATCAATACAGCGGGATTAGCACGCACTTCCTTCTTTTTTGGACTCTTCATCATGGTTTGTTAAAATAAAGAAAAGGAGATTGTTATGGTTTCTTTTGCTCCTCTTTTTTTTTTTTTTTCCTAAAACCTCCAAAGCGAAAGCACGACGGCCCGGAAACTGATTGTTTCACGACGCGTTGTTAAGGAGGCGACTGTTTTGAGCGCGAAACGGCTGGTTGCCATGTCCAGGAACCAGCAGATGTCTCACTTAAACAGCTCTCTCCAGCAGTGGAAGGATGACAAAAGTGTCACAATTTCACTGTCAAATACGAGCGTTTACGCTTCGGATGGCTCTCTACCATCGCTTCTCTTCCGTGAGAGCCAACCTGCGCAGCGGCAGCTCGCGCTTCCGATTGCCCCTGCGGATCTTATCAAAATACTGCTACTTTCATTTTGATCTTCCACTTGCACATGAAAACCCTTCATATTATCTGTGGATCTGATTCTTATGTGATGCTCTACAACCATATACACGTAGCTACTTCATATACGGGCAAGCAGCAGACTGGCATTTCCCTTTTTTTAGTCTCTAGTGTCCCTGATACAGCAAAATTTGAGTGCATTTGAGCTGCTTTTTCTTGCGTCCAAGGCCGTTTTAGATGGTCCGAATAGCAACAAACAATTGCTCTCATCTAGCGCTTACTTCCTAATACCTTTACTCAGCTTTTTGGGGACCAAAAAAACATGGACAAAATTTGACCAAAAAGCATGAGGTCCCCCCCTCATGGTTTTCATCGAAAATCAAACGATTGCGTTTTTTACCTTGATAATGAAGACTTTTGCTATGGTATATCTTGAATCAAAATTTTTCTATCGATCTAACGTAACCCCTGAAATCATCTTTGTGGAAACTTGATATGCAAAATTTCGTCTTTTTGGGCAGAAACCTCTTTTCGTATTTTTATAAATTGCCCAATAAGTTTATTTAAATCATCCATCTTACTTGGTACCATTGGATGCGCCTTGAAAAGCACTCCAGGAATGTATTAGGAAGCATTTATTTTTTTGTAGGGGAGTCGAGCTCCAGGTTTTAGTTAAAGTTTTTTAAATGTCATACTGAGGGATAGAAAAGACTGTTGGTGGACCCAATGTCTGCAAAGAAGGGGAATAAGATATTTTTTGAACTAAGTTGGGAAAGAAATCTACTACTAATAAGGTGCGACACCTAGAGCCAATACAGTCTTGCGGAAATCGTCAAAATATGTATTAGGAAGCATCGGATGATCATCGTGTTTTATATAGTCGAATCTGGCAAAATAATTCAATGGAGTCGAGAATCATTAAAATTTCGCCAATCTGGAACAGACTATGAGTCTAGATTTGAATTAATTTTGGCTGGTGGTGCTAACTGGCAAACTCAATGCCCTTTTCATCATGAAAGCAATATAACCTACGTTCAGGCGGTTCGCGCTGTCGCGGATCTTTGGCTAATATCGCAAAACTAATAATAATAGCTAGATGTTAGAAGAAACTTGTTTGTTGATTGATAGTAATTTAATACTATCCAATCTATCTCGCTACGCTCAATGTCGGCGTCGCCCTGTGGGCTCTCGCCAAAGACATTTTAAATCAGTAATAATAAAATCTCAGTATATCGAGTAGATTTTAAACAATCAGTTATTAGTAAAAAAAAAAATTTACCAGAGCCAAGAGGAAGAGAGGAGATATCTCCGTCAACATCCTTTTTGCTTACACTGATATCAAACGAAGCCTATTATTGAGACGAAATGAAAGAAAGCTCAAATTTTATGCAGCATTTGTACATCACAATCGCCATTTTCTGATAATAGAGTTGTCATATCATTCACTACTGCTGATGCTCTTAATAAGATGGCGCCATAAAGCTGACCATAAGTAAATACAGAACTTGTGTAAGATCTACAGCGACTTTTTTGTGATATTATCATTGCAAAAGACATCTTCATGAGGCAAGGCTGCCCCCCCCCCAAAAAAATTATTTGTGCTAAATAATTGCCCTTCCAAATCCATTGTCCCCATCTAATCAGCATCACAATCATCATTGTCATCAACAGAAAGGCATTTAGGTCAGCCAGCAGCAATGCCGCTGCCAAAATTGATTCACACTCAGATTATTTTTTTTTCTGTTCAAGATTGGACAGATTTTGTCTCTTTTCGACTTCTTTCATCTATTTTATGACATTCGACTATATAATCTGTAATGATCATCCTACGCTTCCTAATACATTCTTAAAGTACTTTTCAAGGCGCTTCCAATGGTGCTAATTGTAATAAGTGTTTTGACTGAAACTATTGAGCAATTTAATAAAATTTGAAATGAGGTTTTTAGCGAAAATAGCCATAATTTGCATATGAAAGTCTCATAAAAGTAGTTTCAGAGGTCGTTTTGGATCGAGAGAAACATTTTGATTCAATATATACCATAGTAAAAGTCTTTATTTTCAAGGTAAAAAACGCGATCTTTTGATTTTCGATGAAAACCATGAGGCACCCCTCAAGCTTTTTGGTCGATTTTTTGGTCATGTCTTTTTTTTGGCCCAAAAAGTTGAACAAAGGTGTCAGGAAGTTACTACTACTCAAGTACAATTGTTTGGCGTTATTCCGGTGACCCAGAAAGGCCTACATGTCAAGGTATGAAGGCTTAAAAACCATCCAATTTTGGTAATGCATTGCTTTATAGAATTTATTTACATGGCATGAATCACATCTTTGGTAGCTGTAATTTACTGGAAAGGGAGTTCCATAATAGCCTGTGCAATTTTTTTAATTTGAGTAGGAGGAAGAAAATTGATTTTAGACTATAGCTAATGCATGCAAATTTTGATGCGTTGTTATGTTGTTGGGAAGTTTATTAATTATGAAAATGAAAAACCGAATTTGCTGCTTGAATCGTCATATCATACCACTCGGTTTTCGAGAATGTCAATAACCCCCTTGTTATCTTCAGTCTTGAATGTCTCTCAAAATTTCCTCCATGCTGACTGCTTTCGAATCTTGAATTTCATTTCATAGAACGGTACAACGAAGCATTTCCAGCTCTCTCAAGAAGTTTGCATTATCCCTTCTGAAGCTTGGTGAACTCTTCAAAGCTTCATACATGACTCTGTGGATGTTTTAATAGTTGGCTTTGCCAAATTCCAGTAAAATACGCATAACGCCTGGATCCGTGCCCAATTCCAACAAGCAAAGGCTGCTGGCTGTCTATTGAATCAAACTGATTCATCAATGAAGTACGCTGTTTCACTCTGATGGCTACACACAAACGCTGCAAAAAGCTTGGAATTGACCATCAGCCTGTCCAGATTCAAGTGATTGAGCTGTTTAAATCCACCCACCTCCGCGATGGCTTCTGAGACCAAGTAAGTGTTATGTTGTTCACTACAGTGATCATCGTGGAATGGCAAATCCATCCTGTTCAGCGAATGTCTAAAGAAATGCACTACGTCCAAGCACACATCGGATGCACACCGACCATTACTAATGCACTTTAGGTTGAAATCAGCGTCAACACTCTGTATAATGTTGGCCATGTCTCTATAACCATTGTCGTCTTTATCAGACAGCATGCCTCCTTCCACGGTTTCCAAGGTTTGCTTGAAAATCAATTGCCGTGCTTGTTTTAAAGACCTTCACTGTCAATGTAGTTTAAATGTAGTTCCTTGATGAGCTTGGCTCTCTCTCTGATTTCTTTTACAGTAGGCGATACTGTACAGCTTTTTCAGTGCTTCTGTGTTTTTCACGATAATGGGCCTGTCAAACATGGCTGTTTCTGCCAGATAATTCAAGCTCGTGTGCAGTAATAAAGGTGATCCCCGGCTTTGAGAGCGATACCAGGTACAATGTAGATCGCTCAATCCATCAAAATATGTGAAGGGCTTTCAGTAGTCATTATGCCTCGGATGGCTTGTAACATTAAGCATGTAGTATGGCAAAAGCACAGTTCATCAGTAACCCCTGTTATTTGGGTGCCGTGAGTAGATCAAAAGAGTGTTGATAACAAGATCTATTTATTACATGGTTGCAAAGGATAGTCAAGACATATATACTTCACTTCAACGTAACTGTTACTCTCACTTCCTTTGCTCCGCTTACAGAGAAGGAATCTTCATCCAGGATATCAATGACTACATTGTTCTTGTCTGTCATTAACGTACGTTGTATATCTTCAATGCTGCTCTCTGGATGAAGCAAAAACTCCATTTCATAATGCGGCACAGAATTCAGTATCTCAAGTTCTCTTGAAAAGCTCTCCATATCTTCTGCAAAGCCTGGAGGACCATCAGGAGACTCGTAGATTATTTGTTTAATGTTTGAATATTTTGTGATGCAGTATTCAAGTAGAATGGGTGTTTCACCTGGATCTGTGTACAATATCAAAGACATGGCATTATCAATCTGTCTGATCTGGTTGACCTGAAAATAATCGTCCAACGATTCGGAATGGTTCATGCCAATGGCAACTCGCAAATGCTGTAAAGAATTGCAGTTGTCCAGTATTCTCTCCATATCCACAATGCTATCGTCGTAAAACATTTGAAGATCAAGATGCTGTAGCTCCTCAAATCTGCCTATTTCCAAAGCAACATTGTGTATCAAGTGTCTGTTGTCTTCTCCCGCCATGTCTTCGCAATCCGTGAATTGTAAATCCAGTCTCTGCAATGATTGTTGAAAAAGAGATACGGTTTCCCAGTAAATGTCTGTCGCAGAACGAGTGTTGCCTAGGTATCTGAATTTGTGAAAGTCTTGCTTTGACTTGTAAACTATCTCTCTGATGATCTCGCATCCCATATCGCTGATTTGAGAGAGCATGTCTCCTTTTAAAACCTGTAGATTGGGAGTGAAAAACAGTTGGAATGCGTGCTTTAGCAAAGTACGATTCATGTAAACATAATCAAAGTCCAGGTTGAGGTATCTGATCAGCTTGCCTTTTGCTGGCTTTTTCTTCAAGTGATAAATCAAGCTTTGAAAGGCGATGCAGTTGTGTAGTGTTATTTCCTGGCTTAGCATGGCTGACTCTGCTGGGTAATCCCACGTCTTGTGCACCAGTCGGCATTCTCTAAGTTGCTTTGCGCTTTGAATAAACTGGAATATTCTGGTCAAAATCTCGACTGGCAATGATGTCCAACGAAGCATGATTAGGTTTTGTTTGTTATGGGGAAAGAGGGGAACTTTTTGTATAACGCATCCATGTCAGTCTTATTACATAGTTTCATCATGTCGGTCTACAGACACTGGATGGGATAAGTTTTAATAATGACAACATCAACAACCTTAATTTCAAAGCTAAATGTCTTGAATTTCATAAATCAGAAACCTTCCTCGGTGATCCACCTATATGAAACTGAACTTATCACTGCTGCTTCTTAAGGCTCTATGCTTATTCCGGTAGTTTTGGATGAATGAGGCATGGTTCAATAATGAGCAGAGGGGATGCCATCATCCACTGTGCTTATCTCTCCTGAAAACCAGAGTCCCAAGAACATGAAATGCATGTTGTAAATGAACGCTCTCCTTGATCTTCAAGGAATCGCTCGGAGCAATCGATTTCTCTTGCTCTTTTTTTACTTTTTTCCTCTCATCTTTAAACACTCGTGCAAAATGCTGCTTCCATTCAAGACGTGTATCATAGCCCTCCTTCTGCCCATGTTTGTATCTCAGAGCACGCAGCAAGCTTGTTTAGGACCACTAAAGCCGTGTGGCTACAAGCATGCTGTTCTAGCATGTTGTCCCAATTTCCAATGTCTGACTGATATTTGTGTACCTGCGTCCGCCTTACTGGTAGAGCAATGAATTAATTTCGTAAATGAATTGAAAAAAAAAAAAAAAAAAAAAAAAAAGTATTAATAAGCAGGGGATACATCAAACATACGGTTTCCAATAATTTCATCACACAAAAGATAGCGCTACTATTTTTAGAGCTTCTGTTTACTATGAGTGTTTTGTGTTTACAGTGCACACGATGAGAAAAAAAAAAAAAAAAAAAAAAAAAAAGTCCTTGAGGCTATCCATCATCAACATCAACATCTGACCAACCGAAGCAAGTCATTGCGGGAGAGCATTGTGCATGTCAAGGTCGATTGTCATGCTTATTACATATTCTTGTGGTGTTCATGGTGATACAAGAGGTCGCGGACATCAGATATGGATGTGCAGCGTACAAAGAGACACATCCTTGAAAGCATTTGCTCACAATACATCCACAAGGCGTACTTTGCTAGTAAGAGAGTTTGTACATGGAAGGTTTTTATTTATTGTTACAAGGTTATACTAAAGATATATTACAAAGAAACGAGTGCAATGGCACAATCTAGTCTTGGGCCGGCTGTGTCTTTTTCATATCAAATGTTTTCACTGGCATTTTGATATTTTCATCGCCGTGCTTGAACGCTTGATGTCTACTATTCGATATACGGCCAGTGAAGCTGCTTGACTTTGCGCAAACGCCAGGACGGCCAGCAAAGAACCATTGCGCATTCATGGCTACTAATTTATCGACAATACCGAGAATACTGCGATCTGCAGGCAGTAGGCTGTCATCTGAAGAAGCGTTGATAGGCAGAATGTGCCAATTGTCGCTGGGCAATTCGTTGTACGGTATCTTGTTGTTGTTGACTGAAGTCAATGAGATGTTTAAATGTTGGTATAGATATTGAATGGCCTGGTGGTGTTCGTTTTTCAGCTCGCTCATTCTGAACGAGTTGGATTCAGGTCTGGCTCCAGTGGCGTTGATCAGATGTGGATAATCTGTCAGCAAAAACACATTGGGGTACTTTTGCTCGTTGTTGTCGATGGTGAGTTGGTGCACTTTGTCAATGAGATCCATAGCGCACGGCAGCAAATTGGAAACAGGTTCTAGCCTTTCCATTCTCCAATGAATTGCCATGTATGGCTTTAATTGATTGGAAATTTGATTCGCTACATCGACCCATCGTTGGCTGTATGGCAGAGGTGCCTGCGCATCATGGTCGTTGATGAACTTGTATCTATTTGTTTGGTTTTCTCTACATGAGTCATTGTTATAGTAAGAACTCTCTGTACGACAACGCACCTTCTGTCATAAAACAAGTTGATTACATCCACTGGTGGCGAGGAGGCATCCGTATGAACCTTAAATTTTTTTGCTGCTCCGGGAAATGGAGACTGGATCATTCCATCCAGGTATTCATGTTGTCTAGCCTTGTCGCTAAACAGGTCCACCATAATATCAGTGATGTTGATATGACGCTGGTTTTGGTGATCTTGCAATTGATAGCTCACAGTGGGTCTACCAGAGAAATCAAAGGAATCGCTAAAGCAGTTTTTGATGTTTTTCAGCAATCTTGATTTCCGAGAACCTTGCATGTAGATTTCTTGTCCAGAGGGAATGACGCCTGCATAATGTCTTTCCAGCAGCCAGGCCTTGAAGTCTTCCATTGTAATGTAGTTGAAATGCTTCGTGTTGTCATTCAGCCATTTCAAATCGTAGTAGAAAGAGAAGGGATGTGGTAAACAAGAGCCCATGTGTGAGCTGTAGACATTGGGCAGCACAATGGTTCTGTCAATTTTGCCAGCCAGGAATGCCAGTTGTCTAAAGTGCAATTGAGCCTTTGATTCTGTTTCAAGCATGGTTAGCATGTGTAGCATACGCTGTATACATAGCAACAGTACCTTGCTCGGTGATAGCAATAGGTAACAAGAACCTGCATCTGTCCTGGCCGCAGTATCTCTGGTCAATCTCTTTATAAATGTCATTTTCTTCAGTTGCATTTGCAATGGCAGGCACGCCATGTGTAAACGAGGAGATGTCAGGCCATTTGTAACTGTATTTGACCATGGGAGGGTATGAATAAGGCTTGTGTATGGCATCAGCAAAGATAGGATCTCTCCGTAATGAATAGATGAGACTCGGGATAAACAGAGAGCATGCAAATGCAATGGCAAATAGAGTGTATCCTTTTATAGAATCCTTGGAGCTGAGCACTGTCATTGCGTGTATAGAGTTTTAGCAAAACAAAAGAAAGAAAGAAGAAAAGAGAAAACGATCTACAATGGATGACGATCTGTTGAGTGTTGATATTAGATCCTATTAGTCTGGTCTTTGTTACTTGATTAGTCGTAGAATGCCAAGCTGATCTTTTCGTTGTGTTACCAAATAAAAATAACTCCAAATTTGTTTAATTTATAATGAAAAAAGAAAGAGGACAAAGCAAGATACAGAGAGACAGAGGGGTAAACGGCAACTTATAAATAGTAGCCCTAATCATTTATCCATACACTGTGTCTCACTGTCCTGAGCAACATCAGTTGTAAAGTGTGTGTGTGTGTGTGTGTGTGTTTCAACAGCAACATCTTCTATTATATACATGTTTGATAGACTTATGACATAATTTACTACTAGCATAGATTGTATTACAGGACAGAGTTCTTTTTTTTTTTTTTTAGTAACCGTGCTAGAATGAGCGCCATCATCCCATTCCGTCCACTCTATAGAGACAAGCTTTTTGTTGGATCTACAGTGTTATTTCATTTAGTAAATTACCCATATATATATATATATATCTTACATTAGCAAGCTGATCACTTTCTCCCAATCATAATCCAGTGCGACTAAAGCAGAAAGAGAGGCATTTTTCATATGTGTGTGTGTGTGTGTGTGTGTGTGTGTGTGTGCAACAGGCTGGCAATATCCACATGCATATACAAACACTACATGGCAAAACCGGATTGTCAAAATCAGGAGAAACCAAACAGCTTGTCTTGGCTTGGAATGGTGATTTATAAGGACCATCGTCAGTCGTTAAACAGATCATGTTCATTCCAAGGCAATCTTGTAGACTACACGTGTCATTTGGATGTATATCTGGCACACAGAGCTTGATGGCAGCCGAGGCTAAACTCTACATTGACTGTGGCTGGTTTCAATGTACCCTCTGTCTTGTCATGGTAACGGAAGGTTTCATTTGCAGCGTAAATAGCTTAATGTAGCAAGTGTTTAATTAGCCAGACAGCGAATGGCAATGATGCCTGAGAATGAGCCATTCCATTTCTTGTTGTATCAAGTGTGCCAAGCTAGGACATGGCATTGGCTCGTTGAAACAGTTTCATATCAAAGCACCTGCCTCGAGCCATTCCCTATCAGCATTTAGTGGACACTCCTTTTTATTTTCCACTTTACTACATTTTCCTGATTCTATCTGATAGCCTACACATTTGAGCGGATTATGCCAAGAGAAGAAGGGTTAATGTGGGAGCATTCACAGATGATGGAAATCACACGCATCAGTTATAATTTGATACACTTTATGGGGCGGAGGGTGCATCAAATTTTCACTGCCAAATTGTCATCAAATGTAGTGCTTTGGTGGCTCAAGACGGATCCAGTGCGGATCAAAGAGTACGCCAGTGCTGCCGTAGCCACGGGTGTCTACCAGATATAGTGTGCACTGTTAGTCAGAGAACAACAGCAATGATAAGATCAGCATCTGCATTTTTTGACATTTGCTGGGATTGAGCTTGAAAAAAACTGAGCGAGGAGTGGCTTTATCGTCTATCAACAAATGCAATCCCAGGGTGGCACATCTTTTTTTCATTAACATTTCAATCATGGTAACCTTTCAAAGCAAACCGTATGGACAAAAGAGCGCATTTAGCCCTTTAGCAGCACAAGCTAAAAAAAAGCCATTCTTGTATTTTGGATTACCGTTTCTTGCCATCATGGTAGCTGGTTCATTTGGCTTGGCTCAACTAACGCAAACAAAATTTGATCATCGAGACAGAAGACACACCAAGGTTTGTTTTGGTTATTGCACTCTAGATGCATGCTTATTCAGAAACTACGATAGGTTGCTAAAGAAGAAGCATTGGGCATGGACAAGAATAGACGCAAATTGAGTTTACAAGAGGAATATTTCGTAAGCTATTTATTGTCTTGCTATGAAATGCTCAACATGTCTAATCGTTTCTCTCTCTCTCTCTCTCTCTCTAAAACAGCGCTTACAAGCTGATGCAGATGATGAATGGGAGCAAGTGCGAATCAGTCGACCCGCTGGATCTGGAGAGAAATAACACACCACCGCTGCTCAATTATACCATGTCTTGAAATTCACCAGATGCAATCATTTCTTTCAATAAATCTAATCCACCTACCAATTCGCCTTTGACGTAAATTTGAGGATACGTTGGCCAGTCTGATAAGGCTTTGAGTCCTTGTCTTACTTGATCGTCCGTCAGAATATCAAACGAACTGTATTTCACTTGTAACTCTGCCAACAATTCCACCACTTGTCTGGAAAACCCGCAGCGAGGCTTGCTTGGATTTCCCTTCATGAATACCATGACATGATCCGTTTGGATCAAATCTCGAAGACGGAACTCCAGTTCATTGTCGCTGAAAGTGTGCGGCTTTGAGTCTTGTGCATTGTTGTATTTCGCAACCAAGTTGGATAATTCAGTTGCTTGGGCCCCGTTAACAACATCCAACGTACGGTTCTCCTGTGATTTTTTGTATGATTATGTTGTTCCGTGCTATGTGCATTGCCTTGTCACTTGCCTTGACTATCAAAAAGCTGGGCACAGGTCCCACATGCATCGATTGTGCTATGGCTGGAAATGCCTCTGCTTCAACCTATATAGCACACGCCCTTAACCACTGATTACACCAAAATACTTTTGTTTTCACTCACCTGGATGTAGGTCAAGGAGGGAAAACTGTCCGCCAACTCGCAGAATACTTTGTTCATGTGTGTGCAGGGCTCTGCCCCTGAAGCCCAAAAGTTAAGCACATTGATGGCATTGGCTTTGGATACTAGTCGTTGGAATTGTCTTTCAGTTGTAATGTTGTAGATAATAGGCATCGTTTCAAAGGGAAAAAAAGTGGGGATGAATCAGTGTTTCCCCGAGTCAGAAATTTAAACCATTTGTTTGTTAGCTGTTTTGGGAAACCGAGATAAGAGTTGGGAGCAATTGATAAGTTTCAGTTGTAGTACAATCAATGTGCAGACGTTTACTATCATATCCTACGTATTCCTTAATATGTGCCCAATGAAGTTGCCAGCCTGAGGACGGTCTGTGTACATGATTACTCTAATTCACAGAGGTATGGCTTTCTGAAGGATTGGCTTCGAATTTGAGCGTATGCTGGCTAGGCGAATGCTACACATAAGTAATGTGAGTGTTGTCTGCTGTCTGCTTCTCTAGCATTGAGTCAATCAAGCATCATTTTACCAATAGACTGCGCAATTTGGCTGTTTGACTCTTCATGACCAAGAAAATCCCTATATAAGCAAATGGCATTGTTGATCTGACTACTCTTTGATGCTCCTTGTCTGTATCAACGAAAGCAATTGATACACTGACAGCGAGCATACGTGCATTACCTCTAAACAGCCAAAAATATGCAAAAATGCAGCAAAATTTGTATTTATTTAAACCATGTTTCCCCGTGTCAAAATTCGTTTTAGACCTCCAGAAGAGTACCAGACAACTGCTCTGATCATGGAGTAACTTTCTGACACCTCTGCTCAACTTTTTCGGGATCAAAAAAAAAACATCACTAGAAATCGGCTCCAAACCATGAGGTACCCCTCATGGTTTTCATCGAAAACTGAGCGATCGCGTTTTTGCCACAAAAACGAAGATTTTTACCATAATATATATATATATAAATCAAAATGCTCCTCTCGGTCCAAAGCAGCCCCTGAAATCATGTGTGTAGGATTTTGATATGTAAAATTTCGCCATTCTGACGATAAACCTGTTTTCATATTTTTGCATAGTGCTCAGTAAGCTTGTCTAAAGTACTTGCTATAAGTAGCACCATTCGATGCGCCTCGCAAAGTGCTCCCAGAAAGCTTAAGGGAGCATGTCATGGGCATTACAGCTTATATAGTCAAATCTGTCAAAATAGTTTAGGCAAGTCGAAATTGGCCACCATCTGTCCAATCTGGAGCATATGCAAAGCGGCGTTTTAAACTATTTTGGCAGCGGCTGCTTGCTGGCAAAATCAGTGCCACTTTGAATCATGAAGGCAACAAGCTAATTAAGAGGGAATTACGAATTGACAGTATTACAACATGGCTCGACTATCCTCTTTTGATTCCTACTATGAAAATTTATTTTTGAAAAGTTTAATCGTTGCAAATTGCTCTTCCAGATGCATCCCTATTTGAGAGTATTTTGTTGATCTACAAGGAAATTCAACTTCCTAATCTTATCCTGACGGTCTCTAAGGCAGTAATACTTAGTAACAAAGAAAGTATCCTTTAAAGCTGATACGCATTCAAGCACAGTGCTAGTTATATATCAACACTCTTCAAACATCGCTGTCAAAATGGTATCTCGTCTGATAAGAATGCAAATAATCCGCTTTTATTTTTTTTTTGTGTATCTTTATCCAACTCCATCCACAGCAACTAATCTCTTGCAGGGCTCAAACTTCTATTGCGTCTGCGATCACGTCTATCACGGTCATCATCCAATGTTGCAGAAGGCCCCTTGATGAAGGCGTAATCAACCTTGATGGTTTCGCCAAGATATTGTGTATCATTTGCTTCTGTGATGGCAGTTTCTGCTTCTTTGCGTGCTTCGTATTCAATGAATGCATAACCCTACGACATACATACATTGTCAACCAAGAGCCCATCCTGGCATCGGATACTCCTCCCCCTAGTTACCTTGACATAACCTGTACGTCTGTCCAAATTCAAATGAATGTTTTTGATTGTGCCGTATTCCATAAATCTCTCTCCCAAGGATTCTTCGTCCGTTTCTTCATGAAGTCCACGCACAATCACGATCCAACCCTCGACCGCTAAACAAACAGGCAATCAGTTTTTCTGTCGTGGTTGAGTAATGGTGATGTACTCACAGCGAACGGGTTCCAACTCTTCATTCATAGCGTCTCCTCTTCCAGCACGTCGTGAAGAGCCTAACATGTTAGAGTCATTAGGATAGGCTGATTGGTTTGTTGATTGGTGTCATACCCTCATTGTTGGAGAATCCTCTTCCTTTGACTCGGACATCTGGTTTGCAATCGCGTGTTTAGTGTTCATTTGGTGACATCAAGCTCATTTATGCTTTTATTTACCGTCGTCAATGTTCATTCTTTCAGGTGAGCGAGACATGGCTGTATGTATGTAATGTGTATGTGAGGAAAAGAGTTTTTTTTTATTGACCTGGATGAGGGATAAATCATGACGTTGGAGAGAGAGAGAATGCCAAAATGTTTCGAGAAAGCTGGTCACATTGCTTATTCGTTGAAGGCGATCAGCAAGATGTAGACATCCAGCACCCTTTCTCCCATAATGTTACTCGAATATATAATCACTTGAATGATTGATGTTGATTTTATTAATAGTCTATCATTTGCTAAACGTCAATAATGCACGGCCATCTCTTGAAACCTGCACACTCTTTCTTTGCACATTTCTCAGATGCCTCGATGAGGCCAGCATACGCTTCGTGCTACTTCCATGTTGGTGTAGCTGATCTTGGCCCTGCTGTGGTTCTTCCAATGTGTCTTCCTCCTGCTCATCTCTTTCCTCTTGATTTGGTGGTTCATAATGATCTTGTTCGTACTGCTGTATTTGACTGTTTGACATCATGTCTGGATCAAGTTGACATTTTTCTGGGTGTGGTGCCATGATAAACTCTATATAAAAAAAAATGCAAACAAAATATCAGCACACGGTATCATGGATGGCTATCCTGAAATACTTGTATCTATTTATTAGCGTTGTTCCCCACCTTTCTTCTTGATAAGTTCAGAAAACTGAGTAGGCTCAAGATAAGGAGGAAGGATGTAATAATTACCTTCTTCTTTATCATCATAATGAGATATTTCTACCTTTTCAGCAGCGTAGCATTGTATGACCTCTGTAGCAGTGGCTACATTGAAGCAGTTACGAATGTCTAAACCTGCATCACCCAAGCATCCAGGTTGCTGACCAAATCGTTTGGGACCCATTATGTGACCAAATTTCATAATACTTCTCTCTGGATTTTCCTCTTGTTGTTGTTGCTGCTGCTGCTGCTGCTGCTGTGCCTGGAGCTCCTTGTTCTTGATTATCTTTGTGATTTCTTCATTGGCTTGATCAGATTGAAGAGAGCGGCTTGACTTGCTGCTCACGGAAGAGCGGATGGATGACAACGACGATGAGGAAGAGATCAAGGGCGACGAGATCCTCAACTTTGTCTTTTCGGCGTTGGATTGTTGATCTGAATCACTATGCGAGTTTAAGCCTGAGGAGATGGACATTTTGCGAGATAGCTGTAAACCCCATTTGGAAAGACTCTTCTTCATGCCGGTAAACTTTTTCCTTGTGGGGACATTTATCTCACTGAGTGATTGGTTGCCGTCGCTTTCTCTATAGGATGAGACAGATGAAGGCGTTGATGTTACAGATACCATGGACTGAGTGGCGATTTTAGTTACTGCTTCCTGCAGGATCAAATGGCATTCCTCTGTGTTGCTCGTGGTAACTGATTTGGTATAATTTCCTGGAGGTGGGTCCATGGAAATAGGATGTACGAGCATCACTGGGATATCAGAAACAACCGTATCCGCACTGTTCACGTTGCTTGAGCCATCATTTTTTTTTTATGACATACATGGGGCCACTTACTTGAGCACTGATTGCATTGACAGTCTGATCGAAAAGGACACATCAATCAGTTTCTGATGTCGGACAGTTACTTGATTAGGCTATCAGCAAGTTGTGTTAGTGTATGTATATATCTCGATATCAACGACGAATTACTCACAGGCGTATCAATCGTCAAGGTTACTTGATCTTGACTGGCAGGTTCCAATGGCTTCCACCAACCTAAATCCGCCAAGCAGGTGGTAGCAAGTGTCTCACATGATGAAGTTACAGGAACGAGTGATTGGTCCAGGCGGTTGATCGAGTAGGTGTTTTGTTTGCGCAATAGTTCCAGCTTGATATCGCAGACCGTGTCGCTCAGCATTTCATTGTGAGTCTTTACAGTTACGTAAATAGGCGCACCCGACATCCAAACAGAGCGAGGCATGCTTGTTTCAATCGACACATGCCCCTCCTTTGTTGTCTTCCAAATCTGCTTGTTGTTGAGAACGACCGGTGCGTACAGATCCGTAGCATCTTTGAGCGACTTGAGCACCATATTTGAATAGATGGTCACTGCTTGTTTATGCAATGTCGGCTTATCGGCATGCCACTGAATCTCGCTTTTCAGGTAGTACTGTATGGATCCCTTTTTATCGATATAGGTACCACTCAAATCCGATGGCAATGATACCCAAAAAGGAACAAGGATCTTGTTTATTTCCTCTGTTGCTTTAGCTGAAACATGATATGGTGTAACTTGTTCTGAATCTGTCAATTGCAACACGCTTAGATCCAGAAAGGAGAATGACTTTTGGTGTGTCTTGCTAGAGTCATTGACGGCTAAATGCATATATTAAATCAAGCGCTCTATGTACATATCGCATCATACAGAGGCACCATACCTTCAAGGCCTACGAGATTCAAGTGTATGCTTTTAATTTTATGCACAAGTGTTGTATCACCATGGATCACAATGCTTCCTGCAAGCTCTCCACTGGCTACCACATGCGGAGATTTCAGGTAAATGTGGACGTTTTGCTGGTGCTTCTTCCACGATGCGTGGCTCATCATTGTGTTTGACCTGGACAGTGTTCGAGTAGGTGTACGGGCAATTTTCCTGAATAAATGGCTGAGCGAAGGCGACGATGGTTCCTGTGCTGTAGATTTGGATACAGGCACCGGCGCAACAGGGCTGATGCGGTTTTTACTGGATGCAGAGGGTATGTGCAAATTCGAATACCATGGTTTCAACGTTAATTCATTCATCGATAGAGCGCTGTTGCGGTTGAATGTTGTTGCTGCTGCTGTTGTTGTTGTTGTTGTTAATGTGTTGTTTATGCTGGACATATTTGTGTATATGTCTAAATGAAAAAGAAGTGTAACTGCAATAGCAAAAGTGTTGCAAACGCATTTTATTACATGTTAATATCCGATACAACAACATTTTGTTTACATTCCATTTGCAAAATTAAAATTCTTTATTTTCTGATTATGCTATTATTTTTCACTGCTATCAATGGGTAATTGAATGTGTCTATCCTCAGTATCTCTTGTTAAAAATGACACAGACACTAAACATGTTTCAATTGCAAATAGCCCGACGATCAGGTATTTGAGGCCAAAGATGAAGCTAAACAACACACAGTTTTCTTGCGATAGACACATGTCGGTTTGCCCAATTAAATCTGTGGATTTGAGATCAAACAGGATGGAAAATGTCCAGCTCAATGCCAATCCAAGTGGCATCAGCAACTGACATACGATTTCAATCAGGGTATCGGCATAGGTGGTATTAGTTGGACTGAGAAAGATGAAGAGTGGACAGAATATGGATGCTTGAGCGGCTACCAATGTCGATATTAATCTGCGGTCTGTTATTGTCTGAATAATCCATATGTAGCTATCCTGTTGATCGCTGTCGGTTGGGTTCAATGGAATTGAATTGTTGCTATAGAATCCCAAGGAACTTATCACTATGACAACGGCCGTAATAAGAGTGGCCAATCGAACGCAATGTGTGATTGTAATGATGCGATTCATGCTGATGAGGAAGCGGGAAAAAGGAGGAGAAGAGTAAAGAAGGAAGAAACGGTGAAAACACCCTTTTTTGCACTCTATAAATACCACCAACACATTTCTTGAAATCGCATGGTTTCCAACATTTTGGCAGCATGTCCAAGTCAAGATCGCAACTTTTCGCTTTCAATGTCAGTCGACCATCATTCTACACAGCACCCTTTTGAATAGCCATCATAGACACACAAGACAAAACCTGAAATCACGGGGAGTCCAAAAGAGCTTTTTTTTTTTCCATTACCTTCTTTTTTTTCTTCCTTTTCATTAAACACAACATGAGCTCAGATACACGTCAATCGAGACCAAGATACTGGTGCCATATCTGCAATGCAGAAATGCCCATTTACATGGCTCCCGACCCAACATGTCAACAGTGCAATGAGCAATTTATCGAAGAGGCAAGTGTGTTCATGTAAGCGCCAGCTTGGAGGATAGACATTCATCTGTTGTTACTTAGCTCCACTCCGACGATGATCCTCGAGAGTTCCTTGCTGGAGCAGATCAACACAACACATCACCCAATGCAGCAGACAACGATCATGCTCGCACGCCGTTCAGTTCACGCCATTATTTCGAGTACAATCCTGCTACGGGTAGATTGAATCCTTTGCCTGGTGGCGGTAGCAATGCCCACAACCACGGTGAAATGGGGGATGATATATTCCAGTTCTTCACGCCTACACCTGCTCCTGCCAGAAGCAATACCAACAGCAGCAACACCACAGAAGATGGAAGAGAAAGACCACCGGCAACGGAAGGACCACCTTCACCTTTCGGCAACATTGTTCATAATTTGCTCACCAACCTCTTGGGACAAAGTCCAGATATAGTTGCTGCTACGCAAAATAACGATGGAGAAGGAGAAGCAGGAGCAGGAGCAGGAGGAGAAGGTGGTAATGGGGCTGATGGGCATGATCATGATGGAAGATCCATGGTGTTTTTTGGCAATATGTTGGATGGCAACGTTAGTTTTCAATCAGTGCCAGCTGGTCAGGCCATGCCAGGTGGTTTACCAAACCTTGGGGCTACGCTCGCTGCTGCTGCTGCTGCTGCAAATGCAGATGAGCGCAACGAAGATGGAGACAGCACAAATCCAGGAACGAGAAACACCAACGAAGACCGTCGAGGCAACCACATAGCAAAGTAGAGTGAATGGCACGAGGCTTCGTTACTGAATACTAACACACTACTAGCCTTTTACAGTTCTTATCTGACATGACGGGCGGTGCTTTTGATAGCGGCATCATTGGAAATCCAAACGATTATGTATTCTCGCAAACTGCTTTAGACAACATTATCACACAACTGATGGAGCAGAATGGAGGGTAAATATACCATGGCATGTCAGTCTTTTGGCATGGATGCTCATTCTATCCAATAGACATGCACCCCCTCCTGCACCTGAGCAAGTCATTGAATCACTGCAAAAGAGGCCATTAACAGACAAAGAAAAGAGTAAGTTGACATCATCTATGGCGGGTGACAGAGGCAATCCATTGATCAAATTGTCCCTTGTGCTTAGGTCAAGAGGCCGATTGTGCTGTTTGCAAAGATCAGTTTGAGTCCCAAGAACAAGTCATTGAACTTCCATGTGAACACATCTTTCATGACGAGTGTATCAAGCCATGGCTGAAATTGAACAGCACCTGTCCTGTTTGGTAAGTTGTATAGCAAGTGATTCAAGGGAGATGTGTGTTTGCTTACGTTATGTATGTAGTCGCCATTCAGTATTACCCGATCAACAAGAACAAGACAGCACTAATAACAGCAATGCCGACGATAATAATGGCCCCAATGATAATACCCAATCTAATGCTACTCAAGGAGAAACGAATAGATCCGTTGCAGATGACAACAACAACAATAATAATAACAACAGTAGTAGTGATAATGGTGGGCGTGGTTCACATGCAGGATGGACAAGCACTGGTAATGGAAATAACGAACCACAAGTCGCTTCGTGGCCATTGAATTTGTCTGTTGCATTTCCCTGGGCTGAGATAGGCAGACAAGACAGCGATAGCAATAACAACAGCAGCAATAACAGTAGCAACAACAATAGCAATACTACCGATACATCTACCACCAACACAACTTCGACATCTACCAATGATGCTAATCAAAACACCACCACTCCTCACATAGATGAAAATCTTGATCTCGATCTCGATTAAATCTAGAAAACAACGTTGCTTTCCAACCGTAGCCAAAGAAGTAAATAAACATATGTATGTAAAATGGTTTATTGTATAGAGAGACAAAGAGGAGACTGGGGGGGGTATATGTCTATGATGTTTGACGAAGTGATAATCGAAATCTTGATTTAAGGGAGATCGCTACAATCAATACAGACAGACAGATGATAGCCAAACATATCACAATGGAATACACACACCCATAGTTGACAGATGTGGATGAATTGAGCGTGGTCTATGCAACAACATGAGCATCAGATACATAGATTCACACATGGATCAACTTACTGCAAACGAAGCTCCATAATGCGATACAATTACCCATCCAATTTTAAACCAGCCCTTCATTTGAGGCGCTTCCGAGAACCCTTCGAATGATATCATCATCCAGAATATGTGCATTAGTGAAAACAGTGATGTCGTGATGGCCGATATGAAATACAGCGTTGCTTGAGGGCAAGAGGGGCACATAATCACACCAGGTCCAATGGATTCGACCAACAGTGATATATATCCAACGAGGGAGCTCATCAATGCGTATCCAAATCCAGAAACAAACGCAAATACAGATCGATTAAAGGGTGATTTCGGGTTTGCAGAGACTGTGTTCAAACCAGCCTCTGCCCTATTGAGCAGTAAATAAAATCCCCAGCGACACAGCTCTTGGATAGCAACACTATACGTAATGCTGACAAAGTGCATCGTTTGTGCTGATTTTGCAAAATACCAAATGACGCTGGATAATAGTAAAGCTATCAAACAAAAAAAGGCACTATCCCATTTTGCGTGTTAAATTGTGTCGACGCACATTTTCCAAGTGTCTTTTTCAAACCTTGACACCATCAGCAATACATATTGTGCATTTGGCGCAATATAGAGAAAGAATACAGAAAGAATGGGGCCATACGCTAATAGCAAACAGCCAAAAAACGTGTATAATGACATGTTTTCAATCAGCAACAAAAAGCAAAAGGTTTATGAATAAAAGTAAATTGGCTATTTTCACCGGACGGCGATCATGCAAAGTACCGCGACAGCGTCCAATGTTTGTCAAACCAACGCTTATGATATCAACAAGCTTGAGTCTTTTGCCTGCCAAAATGCTAGCATAACAATGGCCTGCCATATACATTGATAAATAGCAGCAATAGACAAGTTTGGAAGCTTCTTGGTCCTGGTAATTTTCGAATATCCACGGTTATTGCAACTAGACTATCAGCAGATGCATGGTGCATGGTACTTGTTTTAATCTTTTAGATTGTTTGTCTTGAGACCATGGCATTCAATTGATACTCATAACCAAGCTGTTGTATTCCTCTGTCAGATATGGCTTTTCCGCTGCGTCTTTCTGCAAACATGACAAGATTATGCATCTAAATGTCAAATGGTATATAGAATATCCGCGTTTTAAACTGTATTCTCTTGAGTGAATGCAGAATGAGATGTAAATCTGCCCAAGAGAACGGATCGAAATCACTAGTCAACATGCATTTGGTGATATTTGGATATTTATACATTAGATATTCTATCAGCTGGAAAGTATAGAACAATTCTATGAGCTCGGTTTTTGTTGAAGAGAATTCTTTGGTCACATTGTGAAGAACCACCCAAGGACGAACTTTGCCATTGTTCGTTGTCATGGTAATGCCTGTGTAAACTCTTAAAACATGAGAGTCTCCAAAATGTGGATACAGTCTATTCATTGACAGATTCTGTATGCTCTAGGAACTTGAGTGTTTTAAATTCATCGAGATGTTTGATCGCCTTCCAATGAAGCAATTCCGTGGAAGCAGATGGAGCCGTGAAAGACAAGATCAACAAATCAGTCCTTGTGTCGGCATGCTATTAGCGCCTTTGCCAATGCCTCAAATCAGAACATGGTAAATACTGATGAAACAACATCGAGTACATAGATGACTGAAGCATCATACAATTGCCTACAGTGTTATCTCTGAAACCATCAGATTAGATTCAGGACGGAAAGCATGAACAATAGGAGTGTCGCAATGATACTTGAAATGCGCACAATTGTTTGATGGAGGAAAAGTTGCTAGAGAGTGGTTGAACGAACTAGGTATCGATTCGAGAGGCATTTGAGAAGAAAGCAGTTAAGTGGTTGATAACTACGCCAATAACTGATAAATCTCAGCATTTACGTTGACATCCATCAAAACAAAATTCTACCAAAACAATGGCAGTTAAACAAAGGATAGCGTCCAAATACTGTTCTTTATTGGTTTCGTTACACTCTCCTCTCTTTATTATTCGAAACCCAAAGTAGTAACAACTAAAGACCCCTATATATGTCCAACAACCCCTGAAAGTGGGCATATATTGGCCATGATGATACTACGTCTTTAAATTCTATATTGGGCATACTATCGTTTCTTTCTCAAGATTTTGCTCTCGAAAAATGCTAGTTTGAAAGCTCTATTATCAATATTTAGAAAAATCGATTTTCCAGGTCCTCTAGTTAAAAAAAAATTAGAATCACATAAAGCTAAAATATGTTGTAGAATAATGATATTGGAGCAACTTGTTAGTGGGAACATTATATGGGAAATGCATACTTCATGAGATAATCGACATTGGAGATGCTATTTTTAAGCGGGGGAATATGCATGCTTTAAATTGCAAATCTTACCATTATCGAACAGAGCAAGCTACAACTGTCTGACCTTAGAAGCAAGATTCTTCAACATGTCAGGTATTTATTGATAACTTGAGACCAGCAAGTTAATACTGCCCTTTTCGTACGCTCCGATTTTTAAAATGCTTGGTCAAATTCATACTTGTGAGATGTACACATGCGGAAGGTTAACGGAGCTTCAATTTGTACTGTTCTAAATGAGGATCCATAGGACTCCTGAGTCTATTGAACTTAAAATTACGCATTTCTTGATAGTAAACACCCCTTCAAACTTATATAAAAATTGTAGAAAATTCAAAGGCAAATACAATGATATTTGTTTCAAGTCTCTGCGGTACATTGTTCACCTGATATTTGATACGATTGTTTTTGCGATTTTTTGACTGTTTTCAAAAGATTAATCAGTATCTGCCATCAAAACATTTTGTTAAGCATTACTAAACATTATAGACCAAAAAATTTCCTATCGAATGAGCTATTACTTGAAGCTCTGGCATCACTCTATCATGAAATATTGTCAATCTTGTCCTGACCAAAAAATCGTCACCAGATTTTTTACTTGTTATCTGATAAGCACAAAGAATAAAAGGATTATTATTTGTAGCTTATAAAAAATGTTCGATATTATAAAAAAAGAAAAGACTTATTTGAATAAGATCAGACACAAAAACTAAAGATTTATTGATGAAGACAAGAGTTATTCTATTTATACTAAGTTCTGAATGCCAAAGTAGCAATTTATCTTGTACAACGCTTATCACATCTGGTGAACCTCAGTATTTAGATAGCTGAGATGCACTTTACTTATCATAGCTTGTCCATGTTGTTGCACAACACAGACATATCTACCCATTAAGAATACCTTAATTTTTATAGACAGTTGTAGCCCTTCTGGCACAACATTATCACACGTAGATTTTGAAGAAAAATCAATAATTTTGCACGATACCCTTTTTTGGCCGTATCTCGACAAATACTAACCGGATTCGCACAAGGCAGAAACCATTCGATAGCTCTACATTATGTCCATTATGCTATAAAAACTCCAAGCACCAGGTGCGCGTTCCCTTTGTGGAATACATCCATTATGATCTGCATTCCGACAGTTCATCCAGTTACCAGATTTAGATATAAACTGTATGTACATTGGATTAGATGAACGATATCGATTTATACTATAAGAAGATATGGACTTCAGATACGCTAGTACTATAAGATTCATACTACGGTGCGCGAAAAAAATGTTCCAGTGTTTTGCTAAACTGCACCCATTACCCATTTTCTCTGTAAATATCATAGTTATTGGTGTACGATCAGTTTTCATGAATAGTGATGTATTCAATAAGGTGTTGAATAACTAAAATCACACAAATGAAATGTACAATAAAGTATCAGCTTTCCGCTGTGTGCAAAATCAAGATGATCCTCTATTAAATGAAATGCATGATCCTTTTTATATCTTTCTGAATGTCAGATCCTGAGATGTAAATTTAAGTGTGATGATCCAGTAGATTGTTGTAAATGATATGTGTAGACAATCTAGAGATAGATGTAGTTGTAGTCCGTTCTTGTCATTGCAGTGAGTGTTGTTGCTTCAGTAATAGTCATTCTACTAGTTGACTGCTTGATGTGTCCTGTTGTGCGTGTAGACTATGGTTTAATGTGTGCTTTGCAGTGTATGTAGAAATAGATGAGATGTTGATGTGCTGGATCAGGTGTAGCATGATGGATTATAATGTGGATTGCATCAAATAGCCTAAGTAGTTGGCTGTCAGATGATATATTATGCGTGTGGAATTTGAGGCTTGATAGACTAAAATTCACGGAAAAAAAAGAATAAAAAAAAACAGTAAAGTCAACTTGATAAAGGTATGTTTTATTATCAAACTGACAGGTGTAAAGTAAACTGAAGTCTCTCTACTGGCCAGGTAGATGATCCTTCTTATATACTATAACAATGGATAAAAGTTCTATTAATTAGACTAACAAATAAGTCAACTCAGATCAACTAATGTCTAATCATGCTAAAAGACAACTCCAGCAAGCTAATCATGATTTAGCTCTATCTGGATGAATAATTAGACTTTCATCCGAAGTACCCTGATCTATCCTTTCTATAAGGATAATTAATATCAATCTAGTAGCATGTATCCGATAGGTACAGTCTCCTTAGTCTAAACCAATAGTACATATCTGAGTGTATATCGCTGAGCATACATCTTTAGCATGTATCTGGATATATGGCATGTCTATAGCATATCGTATGATGCATGTCTATAGCATGTCTCATATGTAGTAGTACAAGTCTGTAGTACATAAAGTATCTGTAGCTAGTATCACGGATATAAGCATATGTCTTATAGCGTGGATCATGAAGTGCACATCTGAAGCAACAAGCTCATATTGCATTAATCTTGGTGCCTATCCAGATATGGTAAACATCCGTAGTCAATGTCGGAATACAAGTATAAATCTATAGCACCTTCCATATCCGTGGTGCCATCTATAGCCTACTATATCTTATATAGGATGAACCTTTTACTACTAGCGTATCTGAAATTCATTTCTTCTTATAGTATAAATCGGTATCGTACATCTAATCCAGTGTACATACAGTTTATATCTGAATCTGGTGGCCGGATGAGCTGCCGGAATGCAGATCAGAGTGAATGTATTCCACACAGTGTTTCCCAACATTGCATCCATTGCATCTATTGATCTATTACTCGCGCTACTTTCAAAGCTGTAGCATCAATATTTCAAAACTCCATCTTGAATGGCCTCAACAACCTCGAAACCGAAACCACTTTTGTTAGGGCGTCTTTCTATCGCAGGTAGTATCTCAACATCAAAGCCCCAAATGATACTACTGCAACTGTCTAACAGATTCATTGGGCTCATATAACCAATTTCTCTGCAAGGAGATTGTGAAATCAAATAAATCTATAATAGTCCTATGCATTTATGGCTGACGAAAAGATAAACTACTACTCCTTAAAGCATACAATGTTGCACTATAGTTTTCAACAATTAAAAAGATTGTCTGGTGGTGAGTTGTCCAGAATAATACTGTTATAGCAGCAACGCAAACACTGTTTTGAAGTAGTGTTTATTATAAAATTTTCCTTGCATAAATATATTTAAAGGACATTCCTCACGTCGAACTATTATGCAATGAATGCTAAATCAAATGATTACATCTTATCCTGTACTTTTAAATAAGGAAGAATTTAAATTATATCTATTTAGATAACCTTTTATTACAAACACAAAGTTATAATACATGACATCAATCTGAAATCAAGTAGTTGTAGACCTTCGTTGCTTCAACCTCTTAGCCAATCAGATTGCTTGAAAACTCCGCTGACCTAAAAAAAAATTTGCGAGGGTTTCCCCCTGCTTTGATGTGAGGCAAAATTTTAAGCGCCGCTATATATAGCAATATAGCCGCTGCTATAATCAAATTTCCCTCAGGTGCTAGAGCATGCCTTACTTGCACCACCTAGCTTTAAGTTCAGGCATTGAGACCCTCAATCATCACTAAAGTAAGTAGCGATAACCAAGTGGAGGCAGCCTATCTACCTCCTAGCCTCGGATAAAGTCTTGTTGAGCTTCAGGGATAGGCACATCCACACAACGTAAAAAAGGTATGCTTCAAAGAAACATAAAAATAATAAAAGAAAGAACAGAACATACTACTATAGGAGTATAGTGGTATATGTAAGCAAAAGAAAAAAAGGATACTCACACGCAATGAGTCAAAGAAAATCATAACAAATACAACATCAAAAATGTTGTTCACAACAGCTCATTGTTATTGCAACAGAAATACATACATGAGCAACGCGTATGGTAATAATCTGATGTAAAGCAACACAAACATGCACAATTGCAGGAGCAACAGCAGTAGTATGAGTGTGTAATACAACATAACAACTAATATTGTGTCATATGAAGCAACAGAGGCAACACAAACAGCAACCCACGGCCATATAACAAATTATTACAGCGGTAATACAAGAATATAACAGTGCATGATGCTTGTTGTTCATATATACGAAGCAACAACATTACAGTTATTCGTTGAGCTGGTCATATCACAGCCAACAAAAGAAAGAAAAAGAAGATGCAACAATGCAAACATTATGAATACATTATCACGAGAAAGGAAGTAATAATAAAAACGTCCAAAGAAGTTTTATATTATTGCGACCAGATGAAAAAAGATACTTACCACTCATACCACAGCCCCAGATAATAGACCAGAAAGCCAGCATACAGCAAAGACATCAGACCAAAGGATACGCAAGCACCAGGGAAAGACCACAGAAGCAACAATAGACCATCAAAGCGGGCACCACCAAATATGCAGCAAAAGACTACTAGAAATGGGTCCTCCCAAAATAGAACAATTCACAGTATAGCTACAGTACAAAACGCGTTAACGTTGAATCCTACGTATATTGAACAGTTGTCAATCATACTTGCTTTGGTTCCATCAACAAAAGTAGCCTTGTTTCATTAGTAAAAGGTTTACAAAATAATCAAAAAAAAGGAGGGAAGACGCTAATAAAAAAAAAAGGGAAGAATGCTAACAAAAGATTGAGGTTGAAAACCGTCACTAGCCGCAATATAACATGGAGTAAGCATTGGAGACTTGACAGCTTGCTTACAGGATAGCAAAACAAGATTGGGGCTAGCGGTTTCTACTACAAGGTTTGCCAACACCTTGTTTATCGATCGGTCAATTGTAATTAAGAGGTTATATTTAACAAAGGTAGCCGATTTTGCGTTCCAATTTAGCCACATACTGAAAAGACGGTATTTCAAAATATCCATAGCCCAGCCTTCATATTGCTCAAAATAAGAATCCATGGGTATCTAAAATCTTTCAACCTCAAAACCATGCGATTGCGACGATAACACTGCTTCCAGCTAAACCAAACTTAGGGTAGAATTTTAGAGGAGAATCGAATGATACCAGTTTTAAATGGATTATCCCAAATCATTAGCCTGACTTTTGATTGGATATTTTTTGCAATTTTTTGATGGTTTTTAATAGATTGCCATATTTTTGTCATCAAAACTTTACTTTTAATACCTATCATAATGTAGAGCAAACAAAATCCTTTCGAATGAGCCCTGTCTCGAAGCTCTAGCATGACGCTATCAGGAGATATTCACTGATTTGTACACCCAAAAAAACTGTCATCCAGATTTTTGCCTTGCCATTACAGGCAAATTCTAGCCAAAAGCCGATGATTTTGCACGAGGAAATTTTTGATCATATCTTGGGAAAGACACATCGTATTTGCGTAAAACAAAAACCATTCAATAGCTCTACTTTGGATCTATTGAGCTGTAAAGGCTTTAAGTTTTAAATGTACGTTCGCTTCATAATTTTGCTCAAAATCGTGTATTTTACGAATTTTAACCAGAGAAAATGTCTAGAAATTTATGGTAAAGTCATATTAGTCACGTAACTTGGTACAGGATAAAAAAAAAGTGCTTCAAATGCTATTAATTTGTTAAGCACAAAGAATAAAAGGATTATTATTTGTAGTTTATAAAAAATGTTCAATATTATAAAAACAAGAAAAGACTTATTTGAATAAGATCAGACACAAAAACTAAAGATTTATTGATAAAGACAAGAGTTATTCTATTTATACTAAGTTCTGAATGCCAAAGTAGCAATTTATCTTGTACAACGCTTATCACATCTGGTGAACCTCAGTATTTAGATAGCTGAGATGCACTTTACTTATCATAGCTTGTCCATGTTGTTGCACAACACAGACATATCTACCCATCAAGAATACCTTAATCTTTATAGACAGTTGTAGCCCTTCTGGCACAACATAATTTTAATAGTGTATCTATAATTTCTATTCAAAAAAGCGTATATTTTCGAGGTTTTCCAAGAAAAGTGATCATTGCATTTGCACCACTCTACGTATAGCATTTTTCGTTGCGTAGACTTAAACAGTGTCTATAAGTTGATATCTTACTTGAAGCCTTAGCGTTAGTTCTCGTGTATATACCTTGTCTAGTAGGTTAGTCCAGCCAAAATTCGCCAAAATCGATCAATCGAGGTTAACTTTTGCTTCAGTGAAGCATATTCAATTCTTGTTGTGCGTTTTTATTGCCCACTCAACGCTCTAGGTTTGTTTAGTAGAGTTGAGCACCAAATGGACGTTTCCGTACTGCTATTAACAAAAAACGTGTTTTTGCCACTGTGAACTTCAATTTAGGGGGGTAGAAACTTCATTTTCGCAAGGAAGCGTCGCAGGGAGCCCAACAAAGTCTCATTTCGTAGAGCGAACAGAAGGGAGTAAGATTTAGTTAATGGAAAAAAAAAACTTGGTAGAGTTGATATTTGAACAAGAAGCATTCAAGCACTGTCCTTTTTACAGTATACTGGATTCATTACACTTTATGCACTCAATCATTTGACAACCAGTGTAGCGATTGAAAATCCCTTTATATGCTTAGCATCCGCTTTAGGTGTGCAGATAGTCATTCTGATGTGAAGTCTTCAACACCAGTATGTGGCGTGAAAAAGCTACTTCATCATCTCGGTAAAATGAGCAGCAAGCCTTTGACCTTTTACCAAACCACGATGAAGCAGGATATCAGCAAGCGGTTTTGAATACAATGTCTCCCATCATCTAATTCATCGATCTACAACTCGCAATTACTTGTTATTAATAGCTTTTAACAATTTTCATCCAAAGGATAGTGTTCAAAATAAGCCTATTTTGAAAATCATCCCTCTCTCAGCAGTAACTCTTTCAATCTAAAATGCAAACATAACTTTGTTTTCTGCATTAATCAACATGGAATTCTTAAGCGGGGAGAATGTGTATGCCCTGAATTGGAAGGCTTCAGTCATTTAGTCTTGGATGCAGGGCTTACTAACACGTCTAGTATTCATCAATAACTGGAAGGCAACAAGTTATGAAAAAGGGTGTGATACGCTACGAGATCAACATCGACCATATGAAGGGCTACATAAGATTTAAACGTTCTCTTGAGCCAACGTGGCTTCCTCAATACATAACTCTCTTGGTGCATTCAAAATGCGATTAAGACTATATGTAATATTGTGTCCATGATCAAACGCATCGTGCCCATCAAATTTAGTTACATTGACATTAGGACATACGTGTTTCAAGTATAATGCCAATTCAGGGCATACTGTTGAGTTTTTGAATCCAAATCTTTGTCTTAACAACAATACTTAATCTACCGGCTTAATAGTGATTGAGAGTGAGATTTGCTAATCATAGAAAGGATTCCTCTAAACACTTCCATTTACTGCATGTAAAAGTATTGATTGCATTTACGTTGGTATGCCCAGCCATTCCATTGCCAAAACTTAAGGCTTTTAGTGATGAGCTGAGGATCACCACAGTCTGATATTCACAGCTCATCTGAATGAGTGACATTACAAATGCGAGTGACATTTTTCATTCCCATATCCAATCAGCCCCCTTGGCAACATGTTTTTTTTTTTTTTCATATAACATCGCCAACACGCGCTAATAAAATCTTTTTCTCTCTCTCTCTCTGTTTACGACTATATAAATACAAATGGATCGAAACAACCGTTATTCATCTTCTTACGACAACGGCCCATATAGGCCTTCAAACCAACATCAGCAGCAAGCGCAGCAGCAATACCCACCACAGCAACAGCAACAACATCAACGACAACCTCCATACATGCAGCAAGGAAATAACTTTCGCCGTGATGATTATGGCGGCAATGGGGGTGGTGGAGGTGGAGGAGGAGGAGGAGGATACCGCAGAGGAGGCAGTGGCGGTGGAGGTGGAGCTATGAGAGATCAAAGAGGTGGAAGACGCCATAACAATGACCGATTCAATGATAGCAGACCTTACAATAAGAGACCCAATCGTCCAAACAATTTCAGAGGCGGCAGGCATGATAACCAAGATGAAGCCGATCAATACGGTAAGCTTTCAAAAGAGAAGCTTATGCATACAAACATGCTGGTGTATTCATATGTCTTTTTTTTTTTTCCTCTTTTCATCAAAGACAACAATAATCCTGGATATGATGTCGATGATAACAACCGTTTACCTGCTCATATTGAATCCAGAGTGGCAAGAGAGAAGCCTTGTCGAACATTGTTTGTGAGAAATGTCCAAGTAAGTTATTTGACATGCAAAAGTGATAAGGAATGAGAACTGCTCTCCTAAAAAGCATGTTAGTATACTATCCCGGAGAGTGAAGTCAGAGCTATGTTTGAGAAATTCGGCGAAGTCAAAGATGTCTTTAATCTGATTGAGAACAGAGGCATGATCTTTATTACTTTTGTAAGTGTTGACTATTTCCGGCTATAAAGTTGAATTTAATTCGAGGAATAGTATGATGTGCGAGCTGCCGAAGAAGCCAAGACCAACATGCAAGGTGTCTTCTTGAGTGACAGAAAAATTGATGTTCATTATTCATTGCCCAAGGAAGAGGAAGAACGATCCAAATGTGATAGAACCAAGAATCAGGTATGTGCTTTATTGAAAATAATGCCAACACATTGGTGATAAAATACCCAACTTATAAATGACATGATATAGGGCACCCTTCTGTATACGCTTAAGAATGCGAACGGTGAGTTGAACGATTATGAGTTACAATCTTACTTTGGACGATTTGGTGATATTAAGGCAATTCGAGTCCCTCACTTCAAAAAGAGTTTAACACACAATTTCAGTCAAGCAGAAAGGTATATTTAAACAATTTGAGAGACACATTCTAATGCTACGAAGGAGAGAGAGAGAGAGAGAGAGAGAGAGAGAGAGAGAGAGAGAGAGAGAGAGAGAGAGAGAGGGCAAGAGAGAGTGTGTAAACATGACATATGAATCAGGTGCTTATAAGTGATTAGTAGAAATCAGCAACGATTAGTTGAGTTTTACGATTCAAGAGCCTGCGTTGAAGCATACGATAATACCTATAATACTGAGTACATGGGCGGCATATGGGATGTTGCCTTCTTCTGGGATCATCCATATAGAGATCGTGGCAATGCCAATCATCGAAGAGAGAGAAACCATGAAAGAGAGCGTGATGAACCAAGAGGCAATAGTAGAAGAAGAAGTGATACAGTGAGACCTCGTGATTATGATCATTACAATGGTGGTGGACACAGTGGTGGACGCAAAGATGATCGATATGCCTCTGCTGCTGCTAATCCCCCTCTTCCTCCTCAGTCCGCTGCTGTTGCTCCTATGCATCATAATGCCGATCCAAGATTGCAATATAATCCTCAGATGCCACATCAATTACCTGTTGGAGGTGCCCCTATGAGTAACTTGAGTGCAAGTAATGCTGCAATGCCTGATGGCCAAAGATTAGAACAAGCTCAAAAAGCCCAACAAATTCTATCCATGCTAGCACAACAGCCTCAACAACAGCAACCACCACCACAAGCTGCGTCGTTGACTTCTCCCTTCCAGCCCACTAATTTGCAATCACCTCCACCTCCACCTACAGCCTTTGTTGCTCCAGTTCCTCCTACTGAAGACCAAGCTTCCCAAGTCCAACAATTGTTGGGTTTATTGGTAAGTTGCTCTTGCTAATTTGGATTTTTGACCTATATTTACTAAACAGGATTGCTGATAAAGAGTCAAGCTGCTCAGCAACAACAACAACAACAACAACAACAACAGCAGCAGCAGCAGCAGCAGCAGCAGCATCACCAGCAACAAGTGGTATCTCCACAACCACCTATTCTCCCTCCTCAGCCAGGCGGTGTTGCACCTATTCCAGGCATGGATCCAGCTACAGCTTTATCTCAATTAGCTGCCATGCTTCAACAGCAGCAGCAACAACAACAGCAGCAAAATAATCAAAATCAATAAGTTCCCCTTCTACTCTCAACTCTATAATGAAACAAAAAAGGCCCTTTCTCTATCTCCTTTTGCTTTTCAGTGACTCTATATACACAATGTAATACGAACTTTCCTTTTTCCAATGAGTTTTAAGCTATTTTGGGTCAAAAAGTTCAAATATGAATTTAGTAATTTAGTGGTTTATGACGAAATGATTAGCAACCCGAGAACATGTGTATACGTTCAAATAAATGACATGGTAATAGTTAATTAGTAAGAAAGAGTGAGAGTAGGAGTGAGGCTCATATAATGATATTAAGGCAAACGAGTATACAAGTGAACAAACAGACAGCGGAATGCATTTTGAGTGGTTCCTTTCCGTTTGGCATCACAATAACCAAGCAAACAGGAAGCTACTATTAATAGATTTGTTTTCAGCATGAATATATATATATATATATAAACAGTGTTGTATCCATGATCCAATTCCTTTTGTCTTTTGTTATCTTTATCTTTATAATCCAACTGCAATATGTTTCAACCTACATCACCACCTCCTCCTGTACCATCTCATCAGTATCAACCTGCTGCTGCTGCTGTTCCCAAGAGACACAGCGACACTCTGTCATTGGATTTTGACTCTACAACCAGCGACGATGAATCAGAGACATTAGAACCTTCATATCAAAAATACAAGACAGAAGAACACAAGTTCTGGCAAGTGCATTCAAGCACAACGATTATTTCACCTCTCATGGCGGCATCAGATTATGCTGCCATCTCCATGTCGTATGTGAATCCTAAATTAGCCAAGAAACAACAACAACCACAAAAGAAGCAAGTGGCTTTATCATTAGCTGCTCAGGTACAACGCATCTTGGGATCTACATTTGACGAAATTGATGATGAAATTGAAAACGAATGGCAAAGCAGTCGAACCAAATTAAATCAAACCTTAGTTCATGTGCCAAGTATTTCATTGACCATGACATCCTAGTTTCCAAATGGCGCTCCTCTCATTCACTCTATTCTGTATACACTTCTACTCTTTAATTCTATATACATATATACATAGCCCTTCTTTAATTTTTTTCCGCTCATTTTTTCTTTTTTAGTACCTAAATCCATTTATATATTTCAATAAACATTTCATTTCATTTTTCTGACCTGAACATAGTTACACCGTCTGGTCTTTCTTTAGAAAAATGATATTTTTAGGTGTGCGTTTGGTATAAAATTACCTTATTAAAATAGGACTATTGAACACCATGTCAAATATGGACCAACATACACAATGTGACATCAAGAAATGCTCTTGTATACATATGCTATTGCGTATACATGCATAAGTGCATATTTGTCAGATGTTAATCTCCAACGCGGAGTGTATAGAGATGGATTCTAAAAAGCTATATAATTCAGGTCCCCGAGTTCTAGTGCTGGGCTAAAGTAATTGACCCGAAATTAACCAATTTGTTGATCTTGAAAGGGGGGGCAGGATCTAGTATATTTAGAGGAATCATCTGGGCCGACGATCTTTTCACTTAGAGTCTGAGGATAGTTGCTATGATACAAGAATGAGGGGGGGGGGGGTTGGCTTTATTTAAATCATGAATGAACAACGAGTAGTATTCGGGATAATCTTTCCACAAGCGCAAGATGAATAGGGAAACAGTTGCTGTTGGATGGCATCATATTGACAAAAGAAAGAGCGTGGTACCTTTTGATAATGTCTCTTAATGTGCTGTAGGCCGAATGATTTGTTTGATTGTACACCAAGTGGATCTATATCAACAAGAATGAATATGCCATCCATACATGCTCGTTTTATCCAAAACTCACCTCTAGCACCAACGGATTGCAGTTGAACAGCTCATTATTAGGATTCTCTGTTGTGGGAGGTGTATGAATCATGTATCCACTCGCCAAGGGTATCATCCAATCTTCTTTCGACATCGAATCCAGGCCAAGCATGCCGAGCGACATACGCTCTCGCTTATTGGAATAAGCGACACGATGATTCAGCAGCAGTGCTTTTGTCTGTCCATTGTCCAGTGTATCAGATGAAAACATCTTTTTGGCAGTGGAGGGAGCATTATTCATCATGGTAGGTGTGTTGGTGTTGAGCGTATCTGTAGGCGTATGCATCTCGCTCATGGTATCTGCATTGGTTGTGTTGACATACAAGGTGGATTCGACATCCAGGCTGACAATGGCCACATGTTCCTTACTAGGCAAACACGCTATCCAGGCCATGAGTTCTTGTTCAAACACCAGACCCATCTTGCAAATCACAAATGTCCATGCAAATCCGGTTCGCTTTGATATCTGCTTTGTTCGACGCCATGCTTCCTCAAACACGGATGACAGTGGTAGCTGATGACGGTGATTGTCCAGCACGGCAAATTCCACCATTTCGCCTCGATTGTCTGTCCACACAATGATCATCCACCGTTTGTCGAGACTGAACGTATATCCCATGTGTAATACGGCATGACTCTCCAGAATAGTGGGAAATGCACTGATGGCCTTTTTCAGCTTGAAATGGATGTGTGAGGGGATCGGCTTGGATAAGACAAAGGGCGGTGCGTACAAATCAGACACTGAATGTGCGTCTTGCTGGGTATTGCTGTTGGTGGTAAGCGTGGCTTGGTGTTGTCTGCTGACAATGGAATGGCATTTGATATACACGGAGAAAGCAATCTCCTTCATGCCAAACTTGAGACAACCGCCAAAGGAGGTTGATCGCAAGACATGTTCGATGGGCATCAGCTGCAATACCAGACGGGCTCGTGTTTTGTCAGATAGCCTGGACCCAAAGGCCATAGGAGAAGCGTTGTAAGCTACTTTGAGTTTGCTGAAACATCGGCTCAGGTCGAGATGAGAAGCGAGGTGTGTGGCTGGATTGATCATGTAGATGACAATGTGCATGTTTTCTGGCATGGCACTACCAAGTACGGATCCAAGGTGCTGACACTCCGCCATGTAACTTCGAAGCTGTCTGTCGTGAAATGATTCATTCTCCAATTGTGCTATTCAACAGTAAATGAGTCAATATATTCGAGTGCACCGTGCGGATAGGTACGTACGTAAAAGAGTGACAGGCACCAGCCCTCTTCGATAAGGCCCAATGTTGGCTGCTGGATGATGAGTGCCCAACAGACATGTCTCATACACAGTGCTGAGTCCCTTGAAAAAGTGCGTTATGCCATTCTCTATGGATTCGTTTTTGGGGTATACTATAAAATAATTGACTTGCTTTTTCAAAGAGTAGGGCTCCAGTCTCAGTTTCTCCCAAAACATGATCAGGTTAGATGTGCCTTCGATCATGTCGTCTTGTCGGCTGACTGTGATATTGGGTGGTTGCAGTGTGCCGAGATTGGGTTCTGCTGGTCGTCGCTTTTTGACTTGATATTTGCCGTATTTTGAATGCGCTTGATTTGTTTCTAATAGAGTTTAATGCGTGAGATACACACACATACCAAAAATCACTTTGCAAAACGCACCTGACAATTCGTAATAATCCTGCACATTCAGTGGGCCCTTGACAGTGACAGAAGCTGGTAAAGGCAACGAATCAATGCACATTGCATCAAGATCCGAGTTACCGGGTTGTTGTTGCTGAGAAAAGATGTCGCTCAACACATGCTTGAAGTTTTGGTTCATGAACTCCACATCACTTGGTGTCGATGGGACGTGAATTGTGTCTATCGCTAGTGTCAATAACAATATGCCTATTGAACAAATCAGCTCGCTTTACCTCCATTGTACTTTTGCAATAGATTTCTTCTTCTGGCAATCACCACTTTGGCAGACTCTCCTTCATTCGCTTCAAACCCATTGGACGACATGGCCTCAATACCGCCTGAAAATGGATAGCCACCCATCACAGCTTGTTGACACAAGTAATCCAGCGCCTTGGTTTCTTCATGCTCATTGACGTCTGTGCGTGCACCAGCAACTCGGATCACACTGTCAGTGACAGCACGCGCAAAGGGCGTATCATAGTCCATCATGATTTGATCCACATCCACCTTCTTCTTGATTGTCTCGACTGGTGTGTCGATGCAAGTCAGTCTACCAACAAATTTGCTCTGAGCTACTGAGAGCGATTCCATGGTGCGTGTGATTTTGGTAGACATGTCTTCATTGTTGTTATTGTAGTCACTTTCCACAGAATGGTGATCGTCGTACGCCTCATCGTCATCGTCGTCCTCGGTGCTGCTGCCACTACTTTGGTCACTTGAGCTTGCATCTTCCTCCTCTTCTGAGGATGAGGACGTGATGTTGGTTGATTTAGAATCGAGTTGTTGATCCTCCCTCGATATCATCATCTCGTCCAAAAGCTCCAACGGCTTGTTTTCCTTGTTGATGGTGTCTAGCAGCAACAATTTGCTGGATTTGCGCTTATTTTTCTTGCTGGATCGCATGACAGGCACGTAATCGGGTCGGTAGTCTGTGCTTTGCTTGCGTTTGGTCAGAGGTTGATGTTCCTGAGCTGGATAGGTGAATTTGCCGCCCTGAATATATTTGGCGTCATTGACGACAGACTCCATTTTGATGGGTGCAAATTGCGGTGGAACAAACAGCTGTTGATGGTAGTCGTGCAATGCTGTTGGTGGTGGTAGTGGCGAAGGCTGTGCGTTTCGCGTTTGGTCCTCCTGTTTGACAGGATCGCTCATGTAAGGAGTGAATGGATCGTGCTGAGCCATGCCTACTTGTAATGGCGTCAATGACAGGTCGTTCTGCTGAGAATCGAGGTCTGTATCCAATATCGCTTGTTGCTGCTTTTGATCCAAATCCATCAATGTGGTATCAAAATTGCTGGTAATGTCAATGTCCTCTGGCTTTATCTCCTGCATCATCAACAGTGTATCATGCGCAGTCAATGCTGATGCGTCTAATGTGGCAGGTTGCTGTAATGACGGTGGCACTGAGGCCAATGGAGCAGCTGGAGCAGTAGCAGGAACAGATGTTGGGCCTGAAGACTCGAAAAAATCAAAATCCTCTTCTGTCACGCCGAGTTCAAAATTATCCAAATCATCCATGCCATCATCTGTCCATCGATTAGGTATATCCAGCACCATATTATCTACATCCATGCTCTCCACCATGTCACCGTACGCATCCAATTCAAGATTGGGCATCTGCGGGGATTGATACGTCGAGTTATTGGCTGTATTGTTGTTGGAGATGACTGCCATAGTGCTTTGATGCTGTTGCTGTTGCTGCTGTTGCTGTTGCTGCTGTGAAAGTGGTTCCAGTGTTTGATGGCTTTGTTGTTGTTGTTGTTGTTGCTGCTGCTGCTGCTGTAGTAGTATAGGCTCATTGGCTTGCTGTATCACTGGTGTCGTGTGCGGCAAAATGGGATACTCGACCAAATCATCCATGCTGTTGGGCATGGAGAAATGAGCCATGGCAAAATCCACTAAGGACAAGCCTGACTGATACTTGGATTTACTTCTCTGATGCAATTGGTGCTGTAATTGTTGCTGTTGTTGCTGTTGATCGTCCTCATCGTAATTATTCGTGGAAGAAGAGGGTGTCGACATTTCGTTTCGTTGATTTCCGGCGGCAGAGCCTGGTGTGGCTACAGATTTAGTAGCCATCAGAGGACTCGCAATCACAGGCTCATTAATCGCTTTTTGCAGCAATCCAACATTGTTGCTGTTGTTCTGTCCATTATCCACTGAAAGTGTATCCAAGACGACTGATGTCGTTACTTCTCTTGGACACGTATACTCCCAGTAATTTGAAATGCGTTCACTCCATGCCCATCGATGCCATTTATCCCCTAAATCCTCTGAAAATCCTTGGTTGAATCCAAATAGCCCATTGGCGCCTGCCATGGCAGTAGGCGATATCTTTGATGAGGACGATACAAATATTAAGCAGGATGGGTAATAGTAACTATCCTCGCCTGATGCGAGGCTTCTGATAGCCACAAGGTTGGGCAATTGCTGTCGTGCGTGTGGTTTATGTGGTTGTGCTGTTACTGATGCTGGTGGTGGTTGAGATCGATCATGGGATGCATGTTGCTGTGGTGAGGATGCACATGGCATCAAGTTGGTATAGGGTATATCTAATATCAATGACCATTTTCTTAATATGGCCTCTTCTAATTGTGGTGATAAGGGTTGTGCGGTGTTGTTGTTGGCAATCAGCATGGTCTCGCCTGTGGGACTGATAATCACTGTGTCCAAAGTTAGTTGTATGCTCTGTTTTGTCTGACCGTGTGCTTACCCTTTTTGCCGCGAGTACGGATCGTCTGTATCGTAATTGGCCTTAATCTCATGCGTCTCGTATTTGGTTGAAAGATGAGGTTGGTGCTCGCTAAATAGATGCTGTATGAACAGCACAGCATGGATTGTGTTAATTGCAGCAGGCTAGGTGAGGTGGATGCGTGGTTGGATTTGACGTCTGCAATCACATCCTGATCCGTGTTGGGATAAACGTAGAATTCGCCCAAGGGAAATGCTCCATTCTTCTTCATTTGTCTAGATGGCCAAACGTGAGTCATCTGTTGCATCCTGGCCAGAGGCAACAACTTACACATGAATCAAGTTTCGCACCGACTTGACGAACCACTTGTACTCATCTGATACTGTCACTGGAATGCTTGTCTTTGACTGTGTGGATGATGCGCCAGGAGATGCTGTTGGCGATTGTATCTTTGAATAAGCATTCTCCCAAGTAAACGATCCCACTTTGGTTTCTGTGATAGTCTAATTAGCAGCCTGCATTATCACATCCATAAAGCAACCATTCTCATTACCATCCAGCGCGTAAAGATTATCATTCGCGTCAATCTTTCCCGTGTGTCTTTCGTCAAACCAAAACACCCACAATTCCAGTTCAAGATCCTTTCCTGGTTCGCTTGATTCAGCATGCACTCGCCATAACGTCGGTATACTGAGTGCAATCATCTCTGTGTAGGCTCTCAACAAGGTCATGTCTTTATTGACGACATCTTCAGGTGAATGGCTGAGGAATGTCTCGAGACTCTCTCTGGTAATGTGTTGGTTGTAGACTCTGTATCTAATTTGTGATACACCACTCTACACACACAGCCAGAAAATTTAAGTTTTACATGATCAAGAATCATCCATGGAACTTACCACAACGAGTATATTGGTTAAACTTGAATCTGTTAGCATGGATATCGTTTGACTCTAAAGGATCATTGACAGAACGTCTAATTTTTCTCTATTTTTGACAGTTAAAGAGCGAGGCGAGGCAAGAAAAGGGGCGAAATTCAATAGGAACTGAGAAAAAAAAAGAGTGAGAGGGCTCAATGGATGGCTCAAATCGACCATTTTGTGTTTCAACGGCGACGACGTCACTTGATCCATTGAGTGGTTTGCCCAACATGCTGCATCAGCCACTACTACTTTTTGCCTGATCATAAAGGAGGCACTGAATGAAAGACACGTTGACAGTTTGCATAGTGTGCTGCACCACAGTATGGCCTTTATTTTGGCCAGACAATATGAGAAACATCCATAGAAACGATCGCCACAAACAATGATAACAGTTTTGCATTACATTGTGATCTGTGACATCTACTACTTCAAGATGCAATGTTATGTACAAGAGGCGAGATTATATCTATTTTAACAACGAGAAGCTTTGAAGCTGTGATTTCTCAAAGAAGCCCCTTCTTGTCTGCTAGGAAAGCCATTAGATGAGGTGCAGTAATGTGGTTATGATTCGTCGTAGAACTATCAATAAGCTTTAACTGATCTACGCATGCAGACACGCAATCTATCTCAAGCTTTTGATTCTAACACAAGTTGACTAGCGACATTGTGTAATTGCATACACAGCAAACTCTGCATTAGCTACGCCTGTATAGCCTTTTCTAGCAATAAGCAAATTCTAGCATTTCAAGTCGTAACTACTCACATGTACAATGCTGATTATTTTTTTATTAGCGTGGCATCCTCTAGCAATATACACCATCAAGTAGGAAAGTACTCTTGAAACCGGCTTGTACTTTGTGAGGAGGAAATTGTGAATGTCGTTGAAGCAGATGGATTCAGAAATGCAGTGGAATTAACTTCGGTACAAGTGTTGTCAATGATTGGTCTTGTTGAACGATGCTGATCGCCAACAGCCATCTCATCGTGCCTTCCATTCTCTGCCGCCTTTTGCTGTCGTTTTGCTCTGATGCGTTTATAGATCTGGTATACAATGGTGCAAAACAGCAAGAACAATACAACAGAAGAGAATATCGCAATAAGAATGATTTGGATACGAGTCAACGGAAGAAACTCTGATTTGACTTCAACCGCTGCTGTTGCTGCTGCTGTTGATACTGGTGTTTCCATGGCTACTGAGTAAGTTCGTTTGTGGTTAACAGTGTTAGTCTCTCTGGTAATTTTATAAACGTAAGGGCTGCTCGCTGTAGTCTCATTATTCGGTCCCCACCATAATGATAACCTTAGCCACCAGAAATCGTTTCGAGAAGTCGACATAAACGCCATCATCTACATGTAATGGAGATAACCGAAGTAAAAAAAAAAAAAAGAAGAGGGAAAAAAGACCCAAATTGAATCATATATTGAACAGCATTTAATATTCATGCAATTTAAGGGTAAAGCGTGGTCCTTCTGACCAGCAGACATAGTTTATTATCCATCTGCTAAAGGTATCTCATTGACTGGCTTGAATGTTGGATAGAGGCTGACTGCTCGGATGTTCTCGACAGATCAGCGTGGCTAGAGAATACATGAATTGATAGAGACTCATTCTAAATTCTTGAATTATCAATATTTTGTCTTGCAATCATCGTTTTTCGCTTCGAATGCCGGCTACTCAATGCTTGAAAGAGGTAGGGCTACATGTCAATTTTCTAACCTAACTATACCATAGATGACGGCGAATGTCACCATCCCAGGTTTAGAGCATCCATGACACTAGATCCAATATTATCTTTGCAGTTCAATGCGATGAGATGCCATCCATTGCCCTGAAGCTGATTTCATGGCAGCCTTCGAGATTCTTTCAATAATTGTTTAGCCAACCGAAATGTCCTGTACCAAATCGGATTAGCTTATTGCAATACCATTATCCGGGGGAGGAGGCACAAAGTCTTCGGAGTTGCTAGATGACGCACCTGAAAAAGAAGGTATTTCGTTCGTCCCACACTTTACCAAACCAAATGAGAGGGGATCCTCGTCTCAGAAACAAAGCATTGGGCATGGATTTCAATCAAGATGCTTCTAGTTAATATAATTGTACTATTCGAATGAGCAATCCTACCAAGAAACCTGATCTGACTTTGATGGTGATGAAGCACAAAGTTTGCCTTACGTAAAATGAAATGTTGGCTAATGTGTGTTGTAAGGTGGACCCCTTGATGGTTATTTCAACGCACCCCCGCTTTTTTCTTGTCTGGTAGGACTTGCTAAATTTTTGTATAATATAATCTCTTTTGTAACTCCCATTTTTGTCCCTCTTCTTCCCTTTATTTACCTTTTTATCTAAATAATGTTCTTGTCTCGTACCTCCTCTGCTGCACTCAAGGCTAGCGCTTGGTCTTCTGTTAAGGTAAAATGCCTACAAAACTGAATGAAAAATGAGCCATGTCATCTCATGCTTCTGATTTCCTTTAGTCCAACTCTGTTCGCGCTATTACTACCGCCACTCCCAGTATTACACAAGCCTTTAACGCTCAAAAGAACAGCAATGTAAGTGTATTTATCCGTTGTTCAACAGACCACGTATGCTAATTTTGGTTTTGCCTCCAGGGTAATTACCTTGTCACCCTCATCCCTGGTGATGGTATTGGTCCCGAGATTTCTCGTTCTGTCAAGGAAATCTTTGCCGCCGCAAAGACTCCTATTGAATGGGAAGAGGTTGATGTTACCCCCGTTATCAAGGACGGTAAGACTGCCATTCCTGATGAAGCTATTGCCAGTGTTCGTAAGAGTACCGTTGCTCTCAAGGGTCCTCTTGCCACTCCCATTGGTAAGGGTCACGTTTCTCTCAACTTGACCCTCCGTCGTACCTTCAACTTGTACGCCAACGTCCGTCCTTGTCGCTCTGTCGAAGGTTACAAGACCCCTTATGAGAATGTTGATACTGTCCTCATTCGTGAAAACACTGAGGGTGAATATTCTGGTATTGAACACGAGGTAAGATCGTTAATTTGATGTTAGGGATTTGATGGACGCATCGTCTAACATGTGTACCAGGTTGTCGATGGTGTTGTTCAATCCATCAAGTTGATCACCAGAGAAGCTTCTGAGCGTGTTGCTCGTTATGCTTTCACCTACGCTGAAGCCGTCGGTCGTGATCGTGTCACTGCTGTCCACAAGGCCAACATCATGTAAGTAGCATGCGCATTCACATCAATGGCGCTGTTTGTTAATCGTTGATTCAAGGAAATTGGCTGATGGTCTCTTCTTGGATGTCTGTAAGCAAGTCTCCAAGGACTTCCCCAACATCAAGTTCAACGATGTCCTCTTGGATCGTGCTTGTCTTCACGTAAGTCGATGATTCAATGAGGAGCTGTTACATGGATTATTAAATGGAATGCATAGATCACTTCTGATCCCTCTGTCTACTCTGACACCGTCATGGTCATGCCCAACTTGTATGGTGATATCTTGTCTGATATGAGTGCTGGTTTGATCGGTGGTCTTGGTTTGACTCCCTCTGGTAACATTGGTCGTGATGCCTCCATCTTTGAAGCCGTCCACGGTACCGCTCCTGATATTGGTAATGATTGATATACTGGAATGGGTCTTTGAGCGTACTAACGCAGTCTGTCATTTTATAGCTGGTCAAGATAAGGCTAACCCTACCGCTTTGTTGCTCTCTTCCATCATGATGTTGAAGCACATGCGTTTGACTGAACAAGCTGCCAACATTGAGCAAGCTGTCTTCAAGACTCTTGCTGAAGGTAAGGCCTTGACTGGTGATTTGGGTGGTCGTGCTACCAACACTGAATACACCAAGGCCGTTATTGCTGTAAGTTTCATTTTATATTTGTGCTCTTGTCGACTCATACTAACTGACGTTTTTTTTTTTTTTTTTTTTTTTTTTTTTTTTTCTTTAGAACTTGAAATTCTAAATTTCTCTCTGTAATTGAACATAATTGATACAAAAACCCTGCAACCCCTCACTTCCATTAACACATTTTAAATAAATATTATTATATATCGTTCTTCTTTCTTCCCTCTTTCTATTAAAAATCTTTCACATAATAAAACCGAAATTGAAAGAAACTTGAGAACGACAAATGTGGGGTATAATTGAGGTGTGTGTTTTTCCCCCCGTCTTTTACCCCCCTTCCCGTTAAAATTGTATGATAAGGTTCTGTAGTTTATATGTTTTGCCGGTAATATGTAACACTGAATCGATTTCACTGGAGCAAATGGGTTTCAATCGCTTGAAGTAGTATGTTTACCCCGTCTTTATTCATCCATTGAGACATACGTTGCTTTGGTTGATAATGAGAGGAATTACACGAGTCACAAACATATCTTTAGCTCGATACAATCCTTATAGCCAAAGGCTCAAGTCCAAGCGCAATTTACTATTTGCGGATAATCTGATAAGATGAGATAAGAATCTGATAAGGGTAATGGGATGGTTTGAACCCTAAAATAGTGTCACACACGTCCAATACCTTAAATATGGCAGGGAACATTGTGAGAAGAGTATCCACACTTTTACATTGTAGTATCTATCTTGCTGTATGCTAGGAACCACCAAAGGCCCAAACATAAAGATGATGAGAGGGTTTACATTCGAAAAGTCCCTTGCAAATTTGACGAATAGCAACTTTGTATTACGGAAAGCAGAGATCAGATTTATGCGACAAATGTAAAACTGTGTCCCTTGAGCATAAAAAACACTTAGTTCAAACTATGGTATTCTCTGGCCTTTTATCCCCTTTTCATAAGTTTTTAGAAAGCATCCATTAAACATGCCTGAATCTGCCAGCCAGCAAAATCTATTCGAACTCAGATGATATTTTCTGTCCAAGATTGGTCAGATTTTGTTCTTTTTCAATTTAATTAATCTATTTTGCAGGATTTGACTATACACACTGTAATAATCACCCGATACTTCCTAATGCATTCTTGGAGTGCTTTTCAAGGCGCTTCCAATGGTGCCAAGCAAAGTAGATGTTTTGAATGAGATTATTGAGTAATTCTAGAGAGTATCAAATGAGGTTTTAGGCCGAAATATCGACATTTTGCATATGAAAACCTCACAAAAGTAGTTTTGAGAGTTGCTTTGGATCGAGAGAAACATTTTGATTTAACATATACTGTAGTAAAAGTCTTCATTTTCGAGGTGAAAAATGCGATCGTTTGATTTTTGATGAAAACTTTTTTTTTTTTTTTTTTTTTTGGATGATATTTGATTTATTAGAAATAAATTAAACGCATCAAGGGATGGACAAGTGTATGTAAACAAAGTGACGTGCCATATATAAGCTATTTAGAGTTTCCTAAGATTTGACAATCTTATCAATTCGGCGCGGATTTGGCGGCATACTACAGAGGGATCAAAAGGTATATAATTGTAGAGCTGTTGGAAGTGATTTCTCCAAATCATACGCATAATAGTGGCGAAGAAGTCATATATAGTGAACTGCATATCGTAGCTGTATATGAGATAGCGTTCTAGTTTGAGGAGCATAATGTTGTTGTAGACGAGGCGAGGGTCAGCATTTTTGGGATAGCTGAGGAACTCATTGAAGGTGGAGTTCCATACATCGATCTTGTGAGCACAGCTAATTAGAAGATGTTTGGCATCTTCTACTTCGTTGCATAGATCGCAGTGATCAGACTCTAAATTGGGCAAGTGTCTTTGGAAGAGGGCGAGCTTATTAGGGGATTGCTGATGGAGCATCCGGTACCACAGATTACGAGCCGAGTAGTGCATGTCGTTTTTATAGAAGGCTGTCCATTGCTTTTTGGAGATGTTGTTGTTGAAGTGGCGGCCAACGTCTAATGTGTCCAATGACTGCATGATGAAACGAACGTTTTTGTTTGAGAGCTGAAGGATCGATAGTTGTTGGAAGCGAAGTGATGCGGCAAATGGTCTCAGGTCGATACCATCTTCAGTGCTGTTGTTGTGTACGAATGGTTGATAATGCAACTCTTGTCGTAGGAGGGCTTTTTCAAGCTTGAGCCAGGTGTTTCTCTTGCTACATGTGGACTTGGGAACAAGTTGAAACATGGCTTGCTCCGAATTGTATTTGAAAAATTCCTGGACTTTGCTGGTTTTGGCGGTTTCACACTGTAGAAATTCAAGTTCTTCCAAATTTTCATCGAAGGTGAAGATTGCAGTGAGGGGGAGACTCAGGATGGTCAGCGCGCTTGGCCTCCGTTGCCAATCAATACACAGTGAGCTTCGTTGGCGGCAAATGTCCATGGCACCGAAAATTGAGTGGAATGGGTGGAACCCATTCAGCGTGTTCTTGTATCTCGCTGCTTTAAAGAAGAGGGGCACTACATGGTCGGGTGTGTCATGGGCTAGGCGGAGAGCGTTGGTCAGGAGCTGGTAGGTAAAGTCCGGGACCGAACCCTTGTTTCCTTGAAGGAGCACCTTGATATAACGAAACTGAAGAGCATGCTGTTGAGCTCCAATGTCAATCAATCCTAGGCCGCCTTGATCTCGCGGTAGGAAAAATGAGTTTCCTTTCAGTGGCGGGAAGAGGCCAGACATCACGAATTGGTATATAATGGACTTCAGTTGCTTCAAGACATCCAGAGGTAGCGATACAATGCGAATGACGTGCCATAATTTTGATAGGATCATATTGTTGGCGATGTTGGCTTTACCGTACAGAGACACATTCCGTTGACTATATATCGCCACCGCCGCTTTGACTTTACCAAGGAGTTCAGACACATATACATCGCGTTGATGGTTGGAGAACCAGATGGGGTACCCCAAATATTTGATATACCCGGGAGAGTGGCTGTCATACCATTTCATCTTGAGCCGGTTGATGATGTGATCTTGGACTCTGAGGCCTTCAGACCCTTTCATGCTACCGCCGTGCAAGGGAAATGCCACTGACTTGTCATAGTTAATCTTGGCATTGGAGGCCCGGTTGTACGTCTTAAGTCTTCTTTGGAGTTCAGTTAGTTCTGAATGAGATTTTACATACGTGAGAACATCATCCGCATAAGCTAAGACCTTAACGGGAGCAGGAGACACCCACGGGATCTGCACATTTTTGGGTAGTTTGGTGTGCTGAAGACTATAGCCTGAGATTGCAGTGTTGTTGATGATGGATAAGAGGAACGGTTCAATAGCTAGATTGAATAGGACAGGTGAGATGCTATCACCTTGCCGAATGCCTCGTCGTTGTGCGATAGGTTTCGTCAGAAAACCGTTGATGTTGACATGGATGAAGTTATCGAAAAACAGGTTGAGGATGCAGGCGACGAATTGTGGTGGAAATCCAAACTTCAACAGTACTTGTGAGAGATACTGGGGGTGGACTCTGTCATATGCTTTGGCGTTGTCCAGCATGATTCCAGTGTATTCGACAAAGTTGGTTGCATTTCGCCAGCTGGCGGATGAAGCGTTATCCATAATTACCCTGAGAGACATGCCGTGATCACCGATATATCGACCTGACAAGAAGCCGCATTGATATGGGTTGATGAGTTTGTTGGCTACTGGTATGACACGAGAGTTCATAATACGAGTAAAGACTTTGCAGTCGGCCGCAATCAATGTGATGGGGCGATAATTGGCGAGATCGCTCCGGTCCCCTTTCTTAAACAGAAGGATAATACAAGATTCCTGCCATGATTTGGGAAATTTGGCGTGCTGGATAGCGTCATTAAATACTTGGTGCACGATGTCTCGGCAGCTAGGGTGAGATATAATGAGATATAAGATTTCATACCCGATACCATCTAATCCTGGGCTGCTTTCTTTGGGAGTTCGAGCAGACCCTAGCAGAATGTCGTCGTAGTCTATTAATGCGGTGATCTGGTTGGCGTCGTCGGCTGACAGAGTGGTGTCGATGTAGTCCAGCATTTTGTTCAGGCAGGTAGAGTCTATCCGTTCTTCGGTGTACAGTTTCTGGTAGAATCGTTCTGCGGCGTTCAGCTTGGAGGCAGTGTCGAGACAGTCGACCCCAGTACGAGGGTGCTTCAAGTTGGGGATGGTTCGCTGATCAAGGCGTTGTTTACTGGTCTGCTTTATGTATCCAGGCGACTTTTCACTATTTTCAAGCCATCGTTTCCCGGCCTTAAGAAGCTGAATATCCACGATTTCCTGTTGCAACTTGGCTAGCTCGTTCTCCACATCCTGCAACAGTAGCCTCAAGCAAGTAGTGTCATGTCTGTAGCGTCGTATCAAATTGTTCCTTTCACTTTGCAGTGTCTTGATTCTAGCCTTCCTCCAATGATCGTGTGTTCTGGTGAACTGAATAGTAACCTGTTTGGCCTTCTTTTTAATAAGATCCCACTTTTCTTGAGCAGACAGAGAGCTGTCGAGTTTCACCGCAACAAATGTTCTAAGCTCGTCGTCTAGTTTCTGTCGATACTTATGGTTCTTGGCGAGGTGAGGGTTCGCTCGCCAAAGTCCTTTACCGCAGTTAGTCAATCCAGTAGTATATGTTTTGGTCAAGAGAGCATGGTCTGTCCAATCTGGCCTGATAAACGAGTTAGTGGCATCACTCATTTTGGAGGCTATGTCGTGGCCTGCAAACATATAGTCGATGGTCGACATGGTGGACCCACGCCGAAAGGTATACGCATGAGGTTCATTCTTTGGATTGAGACAATCGGAAAAGTGGGTGTTCAAGAAATCGGCAAACTGCTTGGGTTTCCCTGCACGGTGAGTATGATGGTATGTGGTGGTGTCGAAACTGTAGTTCATATCGCCAGCTATGATCAATGAAGGGATGATTTCAGGCATGCTTTTGAGGTGGCTGGTGATTTGGCCAAAAAAACGGTTTCTGGCTCTATAATCGTCTGCATGTGCATAGATATTAAGTATATAGATGGGTGGCATATTGTTGTCAACGAGTGAGATTTTGGCTAAGATACCCCTTCCTTCGTTGAAAACGTGCAATTGTTGTAAATTTAG